CCTAGGACAAGGAATAACCCAGCCTGTCAGGTTTATGCTTACTTAGGAAAAAAAATCAGGGTGTCATTTACCTGCTTAGGTAAAGACAGCTTCCTTAGTGAAGGGAAGAGGTGGTTGAGTTTGCTTTGAGGTGGGCAGTAGTATTATATGTGTGATTAGTTGGTTTTGTGTCTGTTTGACAAAGATTCTCCATGCTAAATGGAGGGCAGTTGTATTTTCTTCATTCTGCTAAACTCTGCACTTTGTGGGGTATTTCCTCTTGTGTACTGCGGAATATACAGTAAAGGTACATGGAAATAATTTTGGTTCTGAAAACTGGAATCAAAATGACATTTTCATAATGCCCCACCTGCCACTTCACCTTTTTTTTTGTTTAGAAAACCAGGTTCAAATGAACAGACAGAAAAACACTGTGATATTCATAGTGGCAAACACAGTTTGGCTTTTAGTGATGCATTTAATGCCTTGTGTCGCTTAATTTTTCAAGTCCAATCTCTTCTGCTCAGCTTTGTGGTAGGTTCATTTTCGTTCACCAGTCTGCATTGCCACTGAGGAGGAAGAGAAATAACGAACTGCTGTTAAAAAATAACTTCTTCAATCAGCTTCACTTAGTGCAGCACTGTTTTAAAAGTTTGCAAAAGTGCTATGTGAATGTTTGGTCAATGTTTTTAAGGATTTCCTGCTTTAAGAAAAACTAATAAAAATCTCTGTTTCCAAAAGAAAATTTTATATTTAAATGTTAAAGAGAAGTGGTGAGTTAGGACTTTTTTTTTTTTTTTTATCACAACCCTGACACAAACTGGAAAATAGTTTGATTTGGATCCATAGTTTCATCAAACAGCTTTAAGTATCTCAATTTAAAAAAACGAACCAAACTGTAAAAACATTGCCATATGATTTCCATAGGGGAAAAGAGCAGCCTGGAAAAAGCCAACACTTTGAAATGGCAAAGGGAGAGGGGTAGAGCTACAACTAGAAAATGAAGAGTTGAAACACCATTTGGTAGGTCCTGACCTGTTAAGAACTGGAAACTTTTGGAAGATTGTCAGGATATACATCAAAAGAAGTAATGGTTATTCTAGTCAGTCTTCACTGTTGTGTTTTACCATGGGGTGGTTTACACAAAGCAGGTGGGAAATGTGTTGGCTGCTGGATGTGGAGTTGTTGGGGCAGCATCCCAAGGAAGACCGAGTGGTTGGGCAGCTTTGCTACCAGTGAGGAGCTGTTCTTGCTTCTCCCACTTCTGATACACGCTTCAGTTGCCCTGTTGTCAGTGCCTGTCTTATCTCTGTGATATAGCCTGTTTAGCTATAAACGAATTAGATTGTGAACTCTTGTTTTTTTTTTTCCGGATGGTTTTTAATCAGCTTAGGGAGGTTGAGCTGGCTGGCTGAACGTTGAAGCTGGTGTGCAGAAGTGGGACTGGCTGACTGGCAGTGAGAGAGAATGAACTGCCACTTTCAGTAGCAGTGAGCTGTTAAATGAGCTCATCTGTAAAACCTCTCCCTCGGAGGTTAACTTGCTGCTAGGAAAAAAAAAGGGAGTGAACTGTGTAAATAAAGAATTATACTCTTCACTATAAATCAATATAAATGTTGTCATGACTTGAGTAAGAAAGAATTTGTTCTTGAAAAATGATGCTAAGGCCAGAAGAGTCTCTTGGATTTTCAAATTCTCTCAACTTTAACAGGGGCTGGAAACAGACTTTCAGTAACATTGGTGATACGATCATGCTGATAAATCCTAGACTTTCCAGCACTGAAATTTAAAAGAGAAATCAAAACAGTGAAGCAGATGCCTGAGCTTAGCATAAAAGCTGCATCTTTCTATGGTGTAATTTTGCCTCCAGTTGGCAATTTGAAGAGAACTGAAGCCCTTCAGGCTTGCCTAGACATGTCTAAATTGGCCTTTTAAATTTACTACTGTAACCCAGAAGTGGATGCTGAAATCTAAGAAGCTACACTGCAGTCTTACAGCTATTTATTAGGGACGCATGTCTAAAGGCAAAACAACATTTTGTTCAATTTTTGAGGGGTGCTACAAAATGCAGAGGAGGTGTGAGAAATAAGGTCTTTGCTGTCTGTTCAGACAGTGAAGATAAGTGAGGGAAAGAAGAAGGAAAGCTTACAGGTTTAAACCATACTAAAATTGGGATATATGGGTGTTGTGCATGTCTGTAAATACTAATTGTGACTGAATAGGCATTTAAAATATCAGTACATGGTGAAAGTTAGGCATCTGCAACTGATTTCAGCTTGATAAATAGATAGTTTATGGTAGCTAATCCATTCTTCAGTATTTGAAGTGTGTGCATTAGTTACCTGGTTAGCTGTACATTCCTATAAATCGAACTTACAGGCATTTTGCTTTAGTATGGAATTTCTATCCATTCTAGTTTCAGTGCAATAATTACAGTATCTTAATTTGAATGAATGTAGACAGTAACTTTTATTCTCCATTTCCATGATGTGAGTTGATGAGCTGGACATGTAATAGTAAAGAGGCTATTAATATTCTCACACTCTTGTAGCCAAAACCTTTGTCAGGAAAACTGGGAAAAGTTATATAACATAGTTTTAAAGGGTTAAGAGGAGGAAAAAAAAAAAAGGTAGGCTGTTGCCAAGTTAGTATGGGATGAAATCCTAGTCCATGCCAATTTAAGTTAATTTGCTTTGTCAGTTGCTTTCAGCTGTGAATTGTTGGAAGTAGGCTACCCTGGTTCCCATGCAGTATATTTCTTGCAGCGTAGGGAACTGCTTGGCCATAACATTAATCGTTAAAGAACTGATTACTCTATGGTGTCACTGAAATGAAACTCTTGGACCAGTCAGTTGACTACACAGGTTTTTTACAGGGCTTCAGTATTGTTATTGTTTGATCTCTGAAACAAGATGACTTGTTTGTTTTAAAATTAGCTATTTCTTTTTATTCAATAGAAATAAGGAATAATTTTACTTGGTCATTTGCTAAGCTTATAAATGAGAATTGATGAATTATTGTAACCTACAACATTTTTGAATACCTAAACCCTGAATTGCTAGCTAGCTAGTCAGCTACACGGATGGCTAAAAGCAGTGCAACATGTTTCGCTTTGTTGGCTGTTAAACATAGACTTATGCCCTGTTAGCCCTCCTACTTTTGGCATATTTTTAATCAGGAAGTTTATTTATTGAATTTACTGAGTTTCCTATTTGTAATTTATCATTAAATTTAACAGCTTAAGAGAAAAAATGGCATGATGCTAGAACATTTATCATGCAAGATGCTGTGTGTTTGATGTTAGGGAGTATTCATGCTGGGCTATCTCTTGCAATTACAGTTGTGCTGTAATATGCCTTGTGAGTGAATTTGTTGTGAATCTGTGTTGTTAAAGGAGTGCTGCCGCGTATTTCAGATGAAATTTGGGGGGGGATTTGTTTATGACTTTAGCCTTGATGTCTAACAGTTGTGCTAGTTTTAGCCATTTGTCTTGAGTCCACATTTGGCCATAGCGTTGCACAGCTCTGATCCAAAGCTATAGATAGCAGTGAAAAGTTGGACTGATGAGCTTTGATGAGAAAGATCAATATGAAAACATTTCTTCACATTTCTTGAGCACTTTTAACTTACCTTGTGTGTGTGAGCGTTCCCTCTGAAGTTAACAGGGTCCATCACTGTTTGTCTGCTGTATTCAGTACAATTAAAATTTTCTCTACACCAGTTAGGTACGTGAGAGTAGTCACACAGATCTGCTTTTCACAGGGACAGTTGCCTCTTCAGTGTGAGTCATATAGTGCAAAGGAAAGAGGTGAAAGCTCTTGTGATGCGTTCTGTCCGATTGCTTGTTCTGTGTCTCTGCCAGTGCTTTCTTCTTACCAAGACGTCTGATTCAGTAAATACTGTTAATAGAAATTCTATTTAAACTTCATTGGGATTTATGGATTTATAAGTGTAAATTTGAAGGTGTCACTAGCTGGTTTTGGATAGGGAATGTTTGTTGCATTTGGGTCAGAAATATTTTTTTTTTTTTTTTTTCATTAAGAATGACACTGAGTTTTTATTTTTATAGATTTTCATACTTTTTATTTCACATCTTCTGTTGAGTGGCAGCTTTTCACCTTCTGTTTCCTCTTCTGATTTCTGATCTTTTCAGCATTTTCAAGCATAAATTCTTCATCTCAAGATTCTTAATTAGCATTCTGTATTGTGATTTATCTGATGAGCAGAGTTGTAGAAGGTAGTTAAAAGCAGCAAAACTAAAATGCCCACATGTGTCTCTTGATACATTGTCACGGGCTTTTTTCTGTCTGTACTTGTCCTGGGTTTGAGTGGTGGGGTTTTTTGGTAGCAGGGGAGGGGGCTATAGGGGTGGCTTCTGTGGCTGCTGATCAGGCTCAAACACGACAGTCCTGTTTTTAGTTAAATATTTGATAAAATTACGTGTCACGAGTCATTTAAAGGCATGACAGTTTTGTGGACCAGCACTGTTGAGGAACAGCAGTTTTTGCTGTGCTTCTTAATGGCTGTATTTGGCTTAAAACCCTCCTTTATTTCTTTGATCTGGAACACAGGAGCTGGCAAGCTGCTCTGTGCTGGAAGGAATGGTGCTCTGCTGGCTCTGTCTCCCTGTGGCCCCGTTTCAGTTAGGTTCTCACCTTTCAGTAGTAATTACAGAATAATTGCTTGGTCTCATGTGCAAAACCATCAAGACCTTCAGGGTTTGTGTTCAGCAAGGCACATATAAGCCCTGCCATTAGGACCATACTGAGGGCAGACCAAAGGCACGTCTAGCCTGCCCTTACAGTTTGCATAAACTTTACATTGCTCTTACATGGAGCAAAACCTCCTGTAATTAACTGAAAGTGCTGAAATGTAGGCTTCTTAAAGAATTAGAACCTGGCTTCAGTTCTCTTGATATGGCAGTTAAGGGTACATGCATATGTGTGCATACATGCACATCAAAATATAGCTGTATTGTACTTGTGTATGTATACATACCTGTGTGTATCTTTTTCTTAAAGATCTGGACGTTGGTGGTTGGTTACCTGTTGATGGTTTCATTCAAGTGGAATATAAGCACTGAACGTTACTTAAAAGCAATCTCTGTCCCTGTCTGGATTATGCTGCTCTTTCATTTAGGTGAGTAACAAGGATTTATTATTCTAATGTGTCTGCGGGGATTCTGTTGTCTTGCAAACAAAGCTACTCGCTTGCTTTTCCTCTAAATCTTTGCAATGGAGTCTTAGCTGGAGTGTAGGCTGTTTTCTCTGCTCAGTAATTCTAGCTGCATGTGGCCAGCAGGAAGCATTGGAGTAGGGAGTGGGAAAGCATCAAGATGCTGAGCAACATGTGTCTTCCACTCCTCCTGCCCGGTTTGTACTTCCCATGGTTTTCCCTTATTTGGCTCGCAGACCTCGTACTTATTCCTTGACAGTGAGGAAGGCCTGGGGTCACATGTGGGTGGATTTAGACTTCCACTTGTGGTGATTTTTAATATTATTATTTTATTGAGAGCCTGTTATTAACCAAGGCCGAAGCTGTAAAATGAATGTAGTAGTAGTCTTAGAAACAAAAAAAATGTTACGGTATCAACAATATCAGATAAATTTGCCAGTAATCTATGTAATCTGTTAATACAAATATAAGAATATAGTAATCTATTAGTATTAGATTTATATTACATACTTAATATAACAGATTATCAGCTTGTATTAGCATATCAGAATTTATGGTGGAAGTATCATGCAAGTAGCAGAAGACTGTACTGATGGAATGTTTCACAGCAAACTTCATTATATACGTTGCTTTAGCTGTGGGTTTCAAGGATTGTTCTGACCACATGGGGACACTTCCCTGAGGTTTTAAAGATACACATAATCGCTTTGCATTTGATTGCATTTTATCAGTCTTGTATATGCTGGAAGTACTAGCTGAGAAGCCAAACCCCGAGAAGGCACTTCTTGATGCCACTCTGTGGAGATGTAACATAAATACAGATTTTGGGGAGAGGAGGGGACTTCATTTGCCTCTGGTATCTAAAATGCTTTTATTCTGTGTGTATTGTAATGTAATTTTGCATGTTGTTTTTAATAATTGTTCTATCAGCATAAAGTCACTGAAGTTAGGAACAGTAACAACTTGGTTTATTAATTGAGAAACTTGTTCACCTGTGTTTACATTCACAGAAGGGAAGAATAGAAGAAAACTTGTTTGCTTTATGACACTTACTAGTTTCTGCCCAGATTGTTCTTGGCTGATGTGGTGCCTTTCTTGGTTTTGCTAAATGTGGAGTTTATTAATGGTGTCATTTTTCTTGTGAAAAAAAAACCCTGTATCTTTCAGCTTCTGTGGCAGGTTCCTGGAGAATTCCCGTGTTTCTGGTTGTAGTTGTTCTGATGACCGTAGGCATGTTGCATGAACAGCAGAATGGAAAGGAGTCTTCTGGTGAGGAATGAGTCACTATTTCTTTTATTGTTGAAGGCAAAAGTTCTGTAAAGTCAAGTGAAAGAATCTGGATCATATTACTGTAGAATCAATACCGTACGGATTGCAAGAATTTACTAATAGATTTTTAGTATGTTTGTTTCAAAGTGGTTTGCTCATGCTGAACTGAATCTCTGATTCTTTACAGAAAATCATTACACTGGACTGATGTTTCTTTTCCATAGCAAAGTAGTGACTCTCATTATCAAGCCCGAAGAAGGCCCAGGAAATTTGAAATAAGAGGTTAATTTTGAAAGAAATAAGCAATATGGGCTTAGTAGCTCCTCTAATATTGAGTATGAGATAAACTGAGACAACTCCATCCAGCAAATTTCTTATATCCAGTCATTTGTTTTTAAAATACCAGTTTCCTAAAACTATGGTTTGAGTTTAGGCTTTCAGAAAAATAGGATTTGCCTATTGTAAGTCAATTTTGCATAAAAGCAAATGTCAGGTGTGCCTTTCCTGGTACTAGCTGTATGATTATTTTTGGGAAACTTTTTCCTGTCACACTGTTTTATGTTTCTTAAAAGTTGTCACTGAATAGTAAAATTGATTATTTGGTATAAAGAGTTTTAGATTCATCAGACTGCCAGCAACTGCAAATTACTTGGTTGGTAGCAGTTCATTAGCAAGGATAGTGCTAAGCAAATAGGTAGCTTTGTGGTTTTGGCTCCAGGTGTATTGTAATACTAAAATTAGTAGCACTCATTCTGTTTGATTGTGTTGACTACATACAATACCTACTAGAAATTAACAGTGCCTACCCATATAATTTCTGTTGCTTGACAGCTTTGGTGAGTATCAGCAAACAAATAAAACATTCTAAATATTCTTTACTTACATACACATACGTATTTTACAGGGGCAGAGCTTCCTGGTCAGATGATTTCCATTGCAGCTTCGACAATTGCCATGGCAATTTCAATGACAGAAGATGAGTCCAATAATGAACGTTCCTCACAACCCTCAGGTGACTGAATACTCTGTAAGAAACATTTGAATTTGCTCTAAAGGCATGAAATTGGAGGGAATTGAGAACAAATTTCAGAATAGTTCCTGTCCTTTTTATTCAGTTCAAAATAGCACGTTCATACTTACCATGTGAAACAGAATTATTTGTTTTTTAAAAATGTTAGGACAACAAAAATATAAAAGCTATCTTGCAAGTGATAGTTTACATTGCTGGCTGTACACTTAGAAGGCTTGACTAGAAGGGTGTTTTTTTTTTTTTGTATGAGGGCATGGGGGTTTTTTTCATATTATTTATTACTAATTTTTTAAATTTTCCCTAGGCTTCTTTTGATTTATTGGCAGTTACAAGATATAAATGGATTTCTGGACCAGGTGCAGATGGACTGGAATAATTTTTGTCTACATCACTGTGACAAAAAACCTTTGTCCTCTGTCCTATGGCATGGTCAAAGTCTTTCCTATAGTGAGTTTACTTGGCATTGTAGCTCGAGTCGTGATACTTTCACTTGCAATAACACAACTAGAAATCTGTAAGAAATGGCTTGAAAAAGTTGCAAAGGTGTTTAGATGTCCATCACTGGTTTTTGACCCTTACCATCATTTTTCTGGATAGGCCTTTGATGGAATGCAGTACTGGAAAAATAAGCTATTGTGGAGGCCTATGGAGATTGAACAGTTCCATCCATTTCCCACAAGTAGACAAAACAGGTCATTCGACTTGACAGAATGTGAACTTCCAGAACTTCAGTTTGAAATTGGCTGTGTCTTAGAGTCATCTGCTTCAAGACAGTATGTTCTTAATATTGTCTGTAATGTGTAAAATGTGCTCCAGAGGAGGAAACATAGTGATTGTGCAGGAGAGAATGCTTTGAGCATGTGGCTTTAAAAACTTCTGTCTAAAGGCTACCATTTGTGAAACTAAAAAGTTACTTCAGCCACCAGCTGAAACAGTGTAGAACAAGCTCTTCAGAAATCTTATGGTGAAAAGTAAGCACACTTCCTGATTTTAAATATGTCAGTGTAAGCTGTAGTTGAAAACGCTCTTCATTTTTAAATATAAAAAGGGCAACTTGACACCTTATTCTTGACTTACCTTTGGTTTTACATTTTTACATGGCTATCATCAAAATAAATATAGAACCCTATGGATATATGTCCCAAAATTTGAGAACAGAGCATCATGGTGACAGTTCACAGTTCTCTTATACTGCTGACTCTAACCTTCAATTTTGGAAATGAGCTGTTTTTTTTTTTTTAGCTGGATTTTGAACATTTGGTCAAGCAATACTCTCTCAAAAATGTGCTGTGTAAGTGCTTGTGTTCTTTGTTCTTTTTTGTTTTTTTGCATTTTTTTGGTGTGTTTTTTTCTTTAGACTATCAGTTTTAATTTTTTTTCCTCTACATTAAGATAATTTTTTTTTTCCTGTTTTCAACTTGTAACCTCTCTTGGCCAAAAAAAAAAAAACTACAGCGGTTTAACAAAGGTGTCTTTTAGTGAATGTTTTTTTACTTATTTTCTTGAGACAGGTAACTAGGTGTTTCTCATCTTACACGTTCTGTTGTTGTTTTCCTTCACAGCAGGAAAAGAACAAATATGGAGTTTCCTGTTTGCTTCTAACAATAGTTCAAATAATTTTCCAACAATTTGTTGGGAATTGGCATTCTATTCAGAGACATGTTAAGCATCCTTTTGGTCATCTTTGGTTGGGATCGTCTCTGTGAGTGGTGATGAAACATTATTCTTTACAGCAAAAGGTTTTACTTACAGGTTTAAGGAACTACAACTCTTCTGGTTTCCTTTGCAAGTGACTTTTAGATGTTTTGTTATCTTGCTTTGGAACTTGTAATGCAACAAACGTGTTTTATGAGAAGTGTAAGATTTTGATAGTTTCCACACCTTCAGCCTGGTGGATAGATGAGTTTGGGAGATCTTCCTTATATCTATTCTAAACATGTCAGTGGTTGTCAGGGTTGATTAACTCTCAGTAGCAATAATAATGCTTATGCTGTATTTAATTATAGAACAATCAATGCTTCGTGTTTTTACTGTTCTCCTTATGCTTACATTTGTTCATGAAAAAAACAGGAGACGTAAGCTGTATTGATTTTATAGGTTTTTCTGAACACTCATGTTTTTCCTTAATTTGTTGTTGAATACTGGTGTTTAGTGTTGGGGGTGAGGAGTTTAATGATACCAGTGCAGGTGGTCTGGCTTGTCCTTCTAGGTGTCCCAAGAATGTCCAGAGTATACAGCCACAACTTAAGAAGCAGATACCACTGCAGCGTTTTGTTAGCTGCCTTGTAGGCAGGATTCGATTGTCTTGTTGGCTTTGAATATGACAGACACTGAATTCCTTCATTGTCGACATGACTCTTACCCTCCTTTTCACCCTGCACTTTTGGTTTTCTTAAAAAAAAAAAAAAAATCTCTGAAATTTACTGAAAGATGTGGTTATTCATGAAGGGATACCTTCATCCTGTTTTCCTGAAATAATTTTTCATTAATAATAATAAAATCACTGTTTCATCTAACTCTGAAGATTTCTTTCTGATACTGTGCTCCATAGACATACAGACATTTGCCCACCTGTTTATGCTGCTGTTCATTTTCTTTTTATTTAAGGAAAGGGGAGGAGAATAATTCAATATGTTATGCTTGCTAGAAGCTGACCTGACAGACAACAGTTGTGTAAAGAAAAGAACGTGACTTAAGACAGCCTGGAAAATTGATTTTTTGTTGTTGTTCTTTTTACTATATTCAAATAAGTACCATGCATTCTGATTTTGCTAGAATCCTTTACTGGGTATTATATTAGCCATTTGGGAAACACTGTCATGCTTTGATTAGTAGTTAGAGGATAGAAGGCTGTTTTTCAGGTCTCATCTCTAAAAATAGCATGAAGCACACAAAATGGGGTTTTACAGACCCTGAAGTTAATCACAATCAATATTCTGATAGTTCTTTTTTCCTGTATGTGTTGACAAGGCACTCATGCCTTGGTTTGCAGAGCATATCTTACCAACAAAATGTGACTTTTTTCATTTGCAAAGTTTGGTGGGATTTTTGGGAGGATCGACTTTTGTGAACGGACTTATGATACAGTCATCTGAATGGTAGTTCTGATGTGAAGGAGTCTGTATTTGTCATTGGGAGAATACTGGGTCATTGGCAGTGCCAATTTAGTTTTGCCTAAAGTGTTGTGGAACTGCGTTCTGAAAAAGCTTTCTTGTCTTTAGATCCCCTAGGAGTTTTTAGTCTTTTTTTTTTTTTTTCTTGGTCTTTTTTCTCCTTTTGATCTTTTGTCTTTTTTTCCCCTTTTTATTTTTCTTTTTTAATACTTTTTTTCCCCCATTCACTCTTTCCCTTCTGTGTTTTGCACATCTGTCTGCTCGTTAGCAGAGAAATGGCAAGAGAATGAGGCTGTTTAATTGATACTGGTCTTAACATTACTCTTGCTGTTACTTAATTAAGATTTTCTTCATTGCAAAAATATGTTGATCAAATTTTTCATTACCAAAAGAAGGAATATTCTTTTTTTCTTTCATAAAAGACTCTTACTAAGGGTTTTTGAGGCAAAAGTTTTTGATAACTTTAATCTTGAGGCATTGACTTCAGCATATTAAATTTCTTAATTTTTTCTATTTTGGAGTTTAGCTCTTCCTTCTCTTTGTTAAATATTTGAGTTTCTGCTTGTTGTCATGTTACTTCTTATTATATTAATTTTTGAGCAAAAAGGTAGGAAGAAAAGTGTTGAGTAAGTTGAATTGATAGGGGAGAATTCTCAATTATGGATAAACTGCTTTCAAATTTGTGTTCCTGTAGTGCATTGTAAGCTGGATCCATTTGTTTCAATTTGTACTCTTCTGCTTCATTAAAAATAGACTGAGAAGTACGGGGGAATGATAGACCCTCTATTTCTTATGACAAAACCACTTTGTTTTTTTAGGAAAACTTCTGTTTATGGGTAACTTTACCGTTATGAAAAATTTACTCATGTCTTCTTCTCCAAAGTGTAGTTTTTATGATAGGGCTGGCCTTCATCCCTTTGAGACATGAGCTGATTTGCCAAGAAGCACTCCACCTGAAGCTTCTGCTGTGTTGAGCTCCATGCAGATTTTCTTCTTTCAGGTTGCATGCCATAATTCCTTTGGGAATATTCTGAAGTTCCACCAAGTGTGTTATGAGCAACCAGCTGATATTTCTGTCATCATCCCAGTGTCTATTAATTGGATGAATCAGTGGATCTGCATTACTGTATTAGTGTGATGGGGAAGTGTTTATAAGCTCTAAAAGTAGTTCCCCTTACTTGTAGAACACCAGTGCAGATTTCTACAACAGAAGAGCGTTCATCTGTTGTGTGAGGCTGCAGAGTTTGTCACTACCACTACTGTACACGTATGACAAATTTGTCTTGTCTTTTTATACCTTCTAGCTGTCATGCTTTGGGCTAGGAATCGCTTAAGTGACACATTGCAGCTAAAACTGCATGTGTGAAACAACATGAGGTGTTTGACCGGTACAGGCATGTGGTATATTGTAATACAGTTTTTACAGCAGTTTTTCTTGGTGGGAGGGAAGTGGTTGGTGTTGATGTGACAGGTCCAGTAAGAGCTGTGTTCATTGCTTACCTGCTGCAGTATGCACCAACATAATAAGTTGCCTTTTATTCTTCAGCATAGAGTAACTTTTCAGATTTTCTTGAGTGTGTGTTCTTCCAGCCTGGCTACAAGGTTTTCTCAGGTAATGGTGTGTGGGAAGTATGCATTTTGCCACCAGCATGGGGCCTCAATAAGAGTTAATACTGGTGTTCTCAGGGAGAGATTCTCCATACAGTGACTGAAGATGGATTTGATGTCACACATACTAGGCAGATTTACCAACTAAAAAAGTTAAATAAATGCATTAATATGTTCTCTAGACAAGAGTTTTAATTAGGACATGATATTTTTGCCTGAAATGATTATTTACTGTTTATTTATAAGTGCTTTTAACACATTGGTTCATATTTTTGAATTTAATTTCATGTTTACTAATGTACAAATGAGAGAATGACAACATTTGTTACCCACTAATTTATGCTTGCTGTTGTTACTAAAGTATGTTACACAAACAAGTAATTTAGAATCACAGTGTGAGTGCTATGTTTATAATGTGAATGTTCAGGAAAAGAAAAAGGTTAGTGAGAAATTTGTAAGATACGAGCTTTCTCTCCAATGTATGCTGTATTGTTTCATTTTGTTCAAATGAGCTTTGAGCAAATCTAAGATTTCTTTTTGAGTACTTGAGGTAAAGAGAAATCAAAGATCTCTTTTAGGACTTCAGATTTCTTTTAGGAGTGAATTACACTTTGTTTTTCAGAGTTTTACAGGTCTTTGAGAAAATATGTTTGGCTTGTAATTTACCTGCAGTGACAGAAGGCCTCTTAGAGGCTGTAACATCTTTTCTTCTTTCCTCCTACCAGCACTGCTTGGCACAATGTTGCATGATGTGGGAAAGCTTACGCAGCCCTGTTGTAGCTTTTCAAAATTCAGATCAGTGTAAAGGCTGTCTCTGTCTTTTAGAGAAATAACAAGCAAACAAAAAAACCACACAAAAAACCCCAACCAAAACAAAGGTTAATTTGGGACTAGGGAGCATATTCTGTTCCATGGTGAACATTAATGTGATAATTTCCATTTTTCTGTTTGCATTTGTTTGTTTTAGGAGCAACAGAAGGTGATCAGCCTCCACATGCTTCATCATCTTTCTCATCCTCTTCATCCTCTTCTGGAAGCAGACAAAGACCTGAGATTGGATCTTTTCTTAGAAAAAAGAAAACTAGTGATATTTACTTCGTTACACTTGTGTGGGCCATTGTCATTGTCCAGATCTGGCTAAATTTCTGGATTGTGCAGCTGTTGCCAGTGCCTTTTGCAGGTAATCATCCAATTATTAGAAACGTACATTAAATGATGACTTTGGATAGCCTTAGGCTTTGTGCTAAATAAAACAGAAGGAAAGGCTTGTATGAGTTGAATTTAGAACTTTTTCAAGACTTTTTGTTAAGACAAGATGTATTGTAGCTTCATATAGGAAAATTGATGTGGCATTGTCTCTTATTGTGTAGTGGACAACTCTGTAAAATTGCTTTGTCTGACCGTTGTAGTTACCTGAAATAATTTAGTGTCATACCTTACACTTGTAAGAATACTTCTGGTTTAGAGTACTTTGTTTTCCTTCCCTTGATGTTATGGCTTTCATGTTTTTACACCTATAGATAAAAATATTTCACCTGTTACATTATCAGTGAAGTGTAGCTCATAACTTTGAATTTTCATTAAAAATGGGTTGCTAGGCTCTGTGGACAAATCACAAGATAAATTTGATTCCAGTTCTAGCTCTGAGGTTAATTAGCTTTGTTGCTTCACATCTACATGCATCCGTTCTCTTATATATCAAGCAGGAACGGAATATTTATGGTAGCTATCTAAAGAGGATATTTTAAAACTGAATGCCACTCTTTGGAATACTCTTTCGAGGGGGGTGAATAGGGCAGATGGGAACTCTGGAAATATACACAAGCTACTATGAATCTGAAGGCATTTCCTCTCATTCCCTTACAGTAAACAAAGTGGGTTTCCTGATTTGTTTGGATTTTCTCTAAACTTCATTTAAAATGCTAATTTTCAGCATTTTAAAATGTATTTAACACTTAAAAGTAGCTATTTTCCCTTTTACCAAGTGTGGTGGTTTGGCCCCAGCTAGTGGCCAAGGACCCACAGAGCCAATCACTCTTTTCTTGTCTTCCAGTGTGGGCTCATCCATGATCTGCAGTCCCTTTTCGGAGGTACCAGCTCAAGTGCCTCCTTGTCCCTGGGCCACAGTCCCTTCAGGAGGTGTACCTGCTCTGGTGTGGGTCCTTTACCAGGCCATGGTCTTTCTGAGTCGTGTGCCTGCTCCACCATGGAGCACTTCTACTCCCTTGGCCCTTCTATTCCCTCTCTTCATCCCTCTGCTCCTTCTTCCTCTCTGTTCACTTATTCTCTCTGTGTTCCCGCCTTTTTTTCCCTCTCTAGTGTTTTCTGCCCTTTCTGAAATATATTTTTCAGGGAGGCAGCACACCTGTGCCTGATGGGCTCAGCTTTGGCCAGTGGTGAGTCCGTTGTGGAGCCAGCTGGAACCAACTGTAGTCTGGCTCAGGGCAGCCCCTGGTCTCTGCCCGTGGAGGCCACCCCGGTGGCCACACTGCTACCAAAACCTTGCAATTTATCTGGAAAACGTAACTGTGGGGCCATGCTTACAGGTGCCAGGGGCTGCGAACTCCGAGAGGCATGGTGAATGATAGGCATGGTGAAAGGAAGAGCTGCACGTTTGGCTGTGGTGCTGTAGCAGCAGCTAAAGGGTAGTACGATGGTCGGGTGTATAAATAGCTGAATACAGGGTAAGAGGAGGGAGGGGGTTGATTTTATTTCAGCGTAGCTGCTACAGGCAGCGTAGCTGCCCAGTTTTGGTGCCTGGGCATTATTGGAAATGGCAACGGCAGGTTTGATGTAGCTTATAAATCATAAAAATGATAAAGGGATTACAAAGTAAATTTTAGACTTACTAGAAGCAGAGCTTATGTGGCTTAATTTATTAAAAAGTCAAGGAGTGACTTAACCACTGGGGTGGGAGGGGAAATGGATGCAATGATTTTGTAGCTAGGCAAACAACAATGAAGCGTCTTAAGCTTGAACCAGGCAAATCTAGGTTGATGTGCACATCTATAACTGAAATGGATGAATACTGCTGCTGCCAGTCATTAGGTCTAAAATAGCTACCTGAACAATAAACTCAAGCCAAAATAGGAGTTAATTTTGAGAGTATTTGTGACTTCTTGCCTCAGCAATGACACTGCGCCATTAAGTGCTTTTTCATGTCATATAACTGAACATAGAACACTACAAAAATATTATGAAAAGGCAATATTAAAATTAACAGAGACAAGTTTAGAACAGTGGATCAAATTAAGCGTCAGAAGGTGAGTGGTGGTAACCTGGATTGTTAAAAGAGAGATGATGTTAAAAATACTTAGTAGTGGAAAATGGGAAGGCTTATAAAGCAAGTTTAAGGAGACTAAAAACTTTAAGCAGGTCTGAAACCTTAAGGAGAATGCTTCCAGTATATAAAATATTAAAATAAAATAACCACCAAAAAACTTACACGGAAAGGTGTTAATTTCACCAGAGTTCCTTATGTTGGTAGACAGGACTTACATGAAGTATATAGATTATTACAAATACCTTGGTACCACTAATGCTTTTCCTTGAATGCATTTGTATTTCTGTAGAATGAGATGCTCTTTTACAATTTCTTAATGTAGAGGTTGGAAAAATTATACCGTGATTATAAAATGAGAAGGTTAAAAAATGGCATTTGAATTCAAAAGCTAAGCAATAAACCAGGTTGTGAACACTTGTAGCATTTTGTTCAGTGAGGTGGGCCTGGGAATCCTCTATTGTCTCTTTTTAAGATCTTTCATTTACTTCCTTGCTTGTTCAGTTGCATCTTTTTTAATTCTGTTTTTGTCTTCAGGTTGTTTTCTGCTTCGTGGAAATGTGTGGAATTTCTTACTATGCAGCATTTCTCTTCTTTTGCTCACAACTTTCTAATAACAGTGTTCCTTTAGACTTTTCTCTCTTGTCTCTTTTTTAACCTAATATAATTACAACTGTGTTATTGACTGTAGCACCTCCTGACATCACCTCTGCAATGAGTGTACACTCAATTATTTTAGAAGACACTATTTAAGCACTTGTTTTTAAATAATAGCAAAAGGTTAGTATGCCAGTTCAGGTATGTGGTTCACCTTGGAAAATGCAGGTTTGACGTGTTTTGCTGAGAAGCAGTTTGTGTACTTACCATGAGTTGCACTTCATCATCTAAAACTTCAGCCTCTAAGTTAGGTGGTGGCACTTGCAGTGTATTTTCTCCTTTTTTTTTGTATGTTTGCCACATGATCTTTACTGGGAAAGATTATTATTCTTCTGGAGAATAAATCCCATGTTTGCCACAAGGTGGTACCAGAGGGTAAGTAAACCAACTGTTGGCAAATTGTTGGAGGAGCTCTCGGTGAACAGGAACCTAAACTATACAGGTTATAGGCTCTCGTGGAACTTTGATAAATGCCCTGTGGATATTAGAAGTTAACCTCTTTGGCTATGTATGTCATTTTACACGTCTTCAAGTAGACAAAGAAGTAAATTTTTGAGGATGAGGGAATTACTGTGGTGTTGATGTATGACAGTAAATAATGAATCCAGTTTGGAAAATAGTGTTTCTTAATAAAAAAAAAAAACAACTTTATTAAAAGTACACTTGAATGTAGTGATAGGGATGTCAGTATCAAATGTTGCAATAAGTATTAAATAATTGGAAGAGCACTGCCAGCATTTTCACATAAAGTTATTTTACTGTGTAAGTAGAATTTCTAGCACCAGCTAATTTTTGATCTATGTGTGACATTCAGTTACTAAATTCTGTTTTTTTAAAAAAACTAGGGATAAATTAGGAGAATTATGTGATCCTCTTGCTAATAGTTTCACTTTGTTTTCCTTCAGAACCATAGTTTTCAGTATTTGGGGATGCAGCAGAATTTTGTTGGAGGTTTGTGTATCAGTAGTTCTTGGCAGGACTGGATTATAAGACCTTTCTGTTTGTTACTGCTACATAAAATAATTACAATCCTTTAAATCGATGTATCTTGTAATGATGTTTTTGTGACTGGTATGTTTGCATCAATACTAAAATTAGTTGTAATACAAATCTTTGTTTATAATGTGAATTAATTAACTCCTCTGTTCTGATGTTAATCTTCCAAAGCCACTAGCAAATTTACTCTCTTTTCTTCTTTTCAGTGGTGAAAAGATAAATAATTCGAGTGATGTAACATTTGGTTGAATGAAAAAAAAGTATCACAAATATTTCATTACTATTAAAGGTCTGTTAGCTTCCAAGGAAAGTTTTGTACGCATCATGCTTTTTTGCTTTTACATTCCTGATTGTGAAGATTCACAAGTTTTGTATGTATACTCAGGAAGTGCGGGAGGGCAGTGCCATGGCAGAATTGGAACCGTAAGCTTTACGAGAAAGTCTCTGGGCTTTATTTCATGGCAAGTAAATGGACACGAGCTTTTATTTCTGTAACTCTAGTGCTAGACATTTCTAGTGTTGAAGCTCTTTATTTTCCAGTCGATACATGTTAGGAGTGTTGGAGAAAAGCTGTTTGTGGTAGCAAATTGCTTCTTTTTTGGTCTAAAATGTAAGAATTTGGGCTGAAAATTTACATATATCACACTGTTAAGTTCTGAATGTGGTATTTTATGTGTAGTCATCTGGCATGGTGTATATGTGAAGATGTGATAAATTCACTGGAATCATGGAATGTTACCTGCTTATCCCAGGCCTTGCTCAAGGCTCTTAGCTGCATAACTGGGTAGTGCACAGGCACCTTTCTTCTGCTGGCATCTAAATTCCATGTGGATAAGCATGGCTGTAAAGCAAGTTGAGGAGATTAGTACTAAAACCACTTGAAAATTCTGAAAGTGATTTCTAATGGAAAATAAACCTCAATCTTTCTTTTTCGTAGGTCTTTCAGAGTGGAATAGATGCGTAGTGTTGTGGTACTCCTCTGAAATCTCTAATATTTAATTTCCTTCTTGTGGTTCCAGTTTGGGCAGTTAAAAAACTTGTGGTTCATTTTGGAGTTTTGAACTTCATGGCAAACCATTGCAAAAGTTGGTGGCAACTTGTTGAAAATTTTGTGAAGGAACGTCAGGAAGCTCTTGCTCCACGGCCCATCAGAGGGCTTGGAAGAGTCGTGCTAAAGCTTGACAGTAAGGTATTTCTACTTATCTCCTTAAGCAACATGACAGTTTGTTTTATTTTCTGTTCACTGTATGCTGAGACGCTTTAATTCTGAAATAAACGTCTGTCACTAATGGACATGTCTCTCATGTAAAAATGTATCTGTTTTATGGTGTATTTTAAACCATGTCTCTTCTGTCACTATTCACACTTAAGCACACATTTAAACTTTGTTAAGTGATTACATGCAAAGCTTGACAGAAGGAACTTTTAAAATGTTGAGTTAGCTTTAGAAGATTCCTTATCCAAGTAAGGCTAACCTCATGGTTCAGTCACCTTACCCGATTACGAAGATTTTGAAGTCAAATGTAATGAGCTTTGATCTGAAAAGGTGTTCCTACTTCTGTTGTGAAAACTTAATTTAAAAAGCAGCCCGCTTTATTCTGTAAGTAGGGCCTGATCTAGTTCAAACACGTTTGTTTATGCTCTGTGGAAGTATAGTTGTTGAATACAGTGGTATGGTGGTACAGAAGGGAGGCTTCCCTCTGTAAAAGAAATACGTGGGATAAGGTGTTCAGGAATTGCCATAGAATAAGATTTTTGTGCTCTGTTCCCTTCTCCCCCACTCAAATTGCACCCACATTTGCATTGCAAATTGCAGAATTGGAAAGTTCAATAAAATTTATGAAGGCTCCTCCATTCAGAATTGTAAGTTTTGACTTATCCTGATAGATTATTTTGTTTGTAATAGCTGTGCCAGTGTGTAAGAATGTGCTTTCTGTAATTGTGTTGTTGAAGTATTCTCTGCTTTAGAGAAGCCGTTACCTCAGAGTTTCTGTAACTGAAGAGCTGAACCCTGGAAGTATACTTCTCAGAGCATCTGTACCTTGGCAGATCCATCTGCAGTTTGTTGCTCTGAATTCCTAGAGGAAAAGGAAGAGCTTAAGCTCAGATCTAATGGGTACATGGATGTCAAAACGTCAACAAAAGCATTAAAATGGCTGTAGGAAAGAAGTAACGATTTCAGAGTTTGAGGAAGAATTAGAAAAAGGAAAAGTCTTTCAGAATATGGCTATGAACAAGATAAAGGGGATTTTAAAAGGTAGTGGAAAGTATTAACGTGTTAAGATAAAAACATTATACAAAGCTTTTAATTAAAAGCTTTTGTTTTTTAAGAAGACTATCTAGACACAGTATCGTATGTTACTGTATTTCATGAGTTGTCAAGTTTAGTATCCTTGTATTGCATAATTACATGATACAGTATCCTTCCTATTTCCACTAAGTCTTTTCTTCTTAAAGAAGGTAGGAGTTTTGTTGTAGCGTGCAGCAGAACTTCCCATTCTTCAGCTTAAATGTATTTAAGGTCAGTTTATATTCATGTTGTTCTTGTCTAAGCAAAAGAACAGTGTTGGCACAACTCATTTCTTGATCTTCCTCTCTCTTTCTCCTTCCTCCCTCCCCCCCCAACTCCATTTTTTAGATGACAGGTATATTACTTCTGAATCTGTGCTGTGTGTATTAAAGCAATTCAAGCTCTTCTAGCCATTATGAGAAGGACACTTGATACTCTGCATGATTCTGTTGTCCTCGTTTGTACGTATTCTAATTATAGCCCACCTGGCTTTATCACGAGCGCCTGGGATTATATGTGGCTTATCACACTAATGCTTTCATATCTTTTAAGTTCTACTGGATATGCTTATTCTGTGCATTGTAGGGTCATGAATGCATCTTAGTTCTGACAATTCGGGAAGCAATGCCATAGGATATTGGCAATTGTGGCTTTTGTAGGGACGGGGAAGGGAGAGGAATGAAAACTGCATCCCTGCAGGTTATTTTAGAAAGGATGGATGAGCTATATTTAAATTGGATTACCAAACATTTTGGCTTCAGTAGGCACTGCTGAAGAGGAAGTAAACATATGCAAACACAAAACAGAAATTCATGGGGTAAATTATAACAGTTTACCTTTTATATATGTATATATGTGTGTATATATATGTGTGTGTGTGAGAGAGAAACCAAGATTGAAGGGTCATTTCCTTTGCAATTAGATGTTTATTTTTTTAATATTTTATATGTGCTTTCTTTTTCTGGGAGCTGAAGCTGCTTAGTGATTTTGTTTGTTTTCGTTTTTGTATATGAAGTTAGTTGGAGGCTGGATCTCAGCATCAGGATGTATTGGGGCTCTTAGCTAAATACAAGGAGCCATTGATAAGGTTTGTTTCACACAAATATCTGGTGGTACTGCTTGGTCTTTTTAAAGTGGAATGCCTAATTAGGAAATAGTTACAGTTTTTAGTAAAATGTAATGAGGATGAGGAAGACATCTCAGAGTGGCATGTCTTTTTCTCCCGAATGAAGTTTAGGAGGCTAGTGTAGATGGTATGGAAAATAACCCATTGTGAGAAACTGGGGGAGAGTACTGCTCATGCATGCAAATCTTTGAGCTTTACTGATTATGTCTGTTTCTTAAATAAAAGCAGTAAGAAAAGCTCTTCTTTCCCACTGTTCATCAACCTCTGGTTAGCTTGGAAACAGACAAATTGGAAGCAAAGAGAAGCTTTAATGAAGAGGAAGGAAAGTAGAGCATTGCTTTTCATTTTCTTTATAAACAGTAGGTCGAGCTGTGCCTGTATGTTCAGGTCTATTTTAAATACGGACTATGGAAATAGGATGTCCTTTCTGTATTCTTTAGTTCCTGGTTGTGCATTTGCATCGTGGAGCCAACAGATGGAGCGGTTTAGATATGAGAGTCTTCCTGGAGGAGAGAGTAGGCAGGTTGCTGTTGTCCTCTATCAAGTCATTTTAAAGCTTAATAGATATGGTATCATGCATGCTCTTATCAGTAGTGAAGAACTAATAATTTGCTTCACTGATACTTTTTTTTTTAACAGAAGACTTGTCTTTTATTATGGTGACTAGTTTTATTTTAGAGTTTGTGACGTAGTTCAGCAGCAGAGGCAGTTGCTCAGCTGCATGCTCTAGACTTTTACTAATTAGAATGTGCTGGTATTTTGTATGCATGCTTTGTGGTAGACTTCAGTGAATCGTGTCATTATTATATGCTTCTTCTAGGTATAGCATACTAGAAGTTTATATCTGAGGACTGTAATTGTTTGGACTTTGGGTAAGGTCAAGGCTTGGTTCTTCTGGTACCAAGCTGAAGTACATAGTTGAATTGAAGCACATACTTAAAGTAAGCACAGAATCTTTACCAGTGCATACATTATTCTAGGAAATACTTTGCAGTAGACATGTAAGATCTTACATAAATAGTTTTACAATAAAATACTGGAAAAGTGGTTGTAGCCTTGTTAATTGTGGATGACTTGAAGATTAGAAGTAATCTGTAGCCTATTTTTAAATGCGAGTTGGCTATGTTTGTAGAACAATTTAAACATCAATATTGGAAAGATAGGCAGGTAAAGACAGATATCGTCTTGACAATCATTTAAAAAATTAATTTTTTGACAGTATGTTATTTCCTAGATCTTGTATTTATCATCCAATTCCAGGAGGCTGAAAAATATCAATGACTTCCTTTCACTTTCTGCTAAAATCTTAGGCTAACAATAGAGCTCTAGTCTTTGTTGTATTGGAGTTGCAAAGTGGAGAAATACAGTCATGACATCTACGTTTTTTCCAAAATTAACCTAATTAATTTTTTTTTCATTCATAAATTATTCTATAGGTGAAGTGGTAAAATAGAAACAAATTCTACAGTGTTAATTTGAGGCTTTTGAAGCTTTGTCATTGCTCTCCGTTACTGTAATTCTTTCCATGAGTAGTAAGAGCTAACAAACGTGTGTGCTTTGTAACATACTTTTTTCATGTTTTCTGATGTTCATGTTTCTTTGTAAATTTGCTTCTTGCTTCTAATATAACTTAATTAACATTCTGAGATTTTTTTTTTTTAATTTGAAATTTTATTACATCTTGTTTTTTCATTGGGAGCTATTATAATTTCTGGCAATTGGTGAAAACACTAGATTTATTAAGCATTCAATGATCTTGTTTTCAGGAATAAACAAACTTCGCTTAATTGATCTTAACCTCTAACACAAATAATAACATTAAAGCTTTTCGCTGGTGTGGTTATTCTGCTAGCTGATTAATAATGGCTATAATTAAGAGTATAGTCCTACATAAACTAGATCGTTAAATGAGTGTATGTGAGCAGTAAGGGTGAGAATTAGTAAGGAAAAATAACTAGTACAAAAGGAGAAATTGACTGTTGAGAAGTGCAAAGAGCCTTCTGCACAACCAATAAAAGGAAATGAAATCCATATGTCTATTTGATCTACAATTTGCTGTTGTGTGTATATCAGATTTAATGACGTATTTGATGTTGTGCCATTGAATGTGAATGTTGTAATATGAATGTGGTACTAAAAAAACCAGAAAATTTGTTTAACAGTAATTGGCATAACAGGAGCGTTTTGAAATACATAGGAAACTGCCTGAATGAGAGTATTAATGCAATAAGCAAGTATGTCAAGTTTTGGTGTTTCAGTAAAGTGCCCTTCTCAGAGTACTCTTACAAGTCCTGCTCTGAAATGTTAGATTTCAGTATAATTAAGCTGGAATTGCCCAGATTATGCTGGTAGCTCTGTTAATATTATTAAGTTGTTCTTTCTTGTTATATCCCTCTTTGTTTCAAAAAGTGCATGTTAACAGTAAAATCTGGATTCTTGCATTAGAATTTACGATCTTTTCTTCCTATCACAATTTACCTTTGTGTCTGGAACAATTTCATTTTCATTCTGTGGATGACTTTGCCTGCCTCTCATTGCTTCCCCCCCTCCCCCCCCCCCCCCCCCCCCTTATTACTGCATTTTTCAGTAATTTTCCACTGTGTTCTTGTCTTTTTTTCCCTTTTCTTCCATCTCCCCCTGCCACTGACAAGCTGTGGCACTGGCTTAATAAGAAGGTAAATAAACAGAAAAATTGTGATTCCAACTAATGGATTCTGTGGTTTTGGGGAGGTTGTTTTTGGTTTGGGTTTTTTTTGTTTGTTTGGGGTTTTTTTTGGTTTGTTTGTTTTTGTTTTTGTTTTGTTTTTTTTTTCAGCATGAACACTCTTTAACATGCCTTGCTTCTTAGTTTTCTCTCCCAAGTGTCTCTCTTCCAGCTCTTGATATAAGCTACTGAAGGTCATATAACTCTACCTGAGTTCTTGTCTTCTACTAAAATGAATGCACATGGTTAAATGTTTTGTACAGCAGAATATTGCATTACACCTGTCAAGTAGTAGTTTTATTTAGTGGCACTTTCATTTAAGAACAGTTGATCTCCACCTGGTCCCCACCTGTATGCATAACAAAACTAGTTCTCTCCCAGACTGGAGAGCTGCTCTCTGCTCAGAGAAAACATCAGTTGACTGAATTAACATGGCAGTGGTGAGGATAAAGCACAGTTGTAAAGCTGTGAATATAAGTGCTTGCAAAGAGTGCGTTGACTGGCTTCAGTCAGTGTTGTTAGATTTTACTTTTGAAGTGTCAAACTGGCCTGTATACTCAGTGGTAGTCAGCATAGCAGGAGAGAAATGAGAATATGCATGGCCTCAGAACTGCTGAATCTAACAGCAGTCTTAAGGGAAGTGAGGATTAGTAAAAAAAAAAAAAAAAAAAAAAATCAAAAAATGTAATTAAAGCAGTTGCTATAGCTAAAATATTTTTTCTTTCGTGCAGCTTTTAAACGTTTGTGATGTGTTTTATAAGAAATGTGCACTTCAATTTCCATGGTTCATCTTAGTCAACTAGGGTTAACTAATTGTTATTTGAGGAACTGTCATTCCAAGAGAAGCTAAAACTGATTCAGTACATATTTGGTCCTTTTGTGTGACTAAAATGTGGACAACTCTTCAATGTAATGATGTCTCTGTGGGATTTGGGCAGTGTTATTGCTTCAAACACACAGGGAGCTGGAGAAGGATGTTTGCAGCAGGTGTACATCTGCAGGACGTCAGAGTTTTAAAGGTGAAAATTTAGTATGTGATAAAACATATGAAAACCAAGTAATTCAGTGAAAGAGAAAAAAATTGAATGCGATATCTGCAAATGGGTTATGCTTCCAGCAGCAACTTTTATCCGCACTTACCACTTCAGTACTAGTGGGAGTGTCAGAAATGGTTACTATGATTTTATAAACAACAGCCAATTCTTTCCATTCAGTAGCTATTACAATAGAAACCACATATCTGCCTTGCATGTTGTGAGAGACTCCTGAAATACTGTTGTTCTGAATGCTGTTGAAAACAGGTGGAACAGAGTAGAGCATGGAGGCTATGGGGGCACTGGCACAGCTCTGAAAGGTTCTTGTAAACAGTGAAACGGGGCTGCACAGCTGATACCTGCTGTGGGTGGCAGAGCAGCTATAATGAATTTAGAGAAATTGATCTTCAGTATTTAATCAGTGTACTCAGGGTTATGTGATGGGGGGCTTTCTGTGTTTCTGAACAATAGGGCAGGGTTACTTGCTTTATGATTCAGTTATAATTGTCCACTAACAGGAATTTCTGAATGTTCCTTTGCCCTTGAATATAGTTTGGTTATTTTAAAATTACATTTTTGTCTCCTGACTTTGAAATGTTTGTTATGTGAGTGACTTACAAAGTAAGTATGTGCAACTGTAATCCTTCATAAAAAATTTTTATTAGGTATTGGTTTGCTAGCACAGTTTAGGTGAAGAGCTGAGTTCAGTGAGCCACAGATGAAAGTGTAGTCTCAATTACTTCTTTTTCTGGCTCTGAATTTGTCATTTGCTTGTTTGAAAATACGTGTATGTAGATCAATTTTTATCTTAATATTGATAGGTTGCAAAAATAATTTCACTGTAAGTGCTTTGAACTCTAAAATGTTTGGATTTTATTTCTAGTTTAGAGATTTGAATTATTGGGCAAAACCCTGTGGATATAGTTTAAGAGTTTTCTTTTAGTTCCTGGGAGCTATTTTTGAAAACTACAGTTTTACTTCACAGTTTCACGGGAAGAGATCCTGAAAGTCCTACGGTGTTACATGCAGTGTTGACTCTTTTGCATGAGCAAGTATTAATAATATTAAAATCAAGATTTAAAAAATAAAATTTAAAAAAGGCAAAAAAAAAAAGTGAAATGTGCAAACCTGTAGCAGGTTCTTGTGGGTTTGTTTTGTTGGGTTGTTTTTTTTTATTTTTTTTTATTTTTTAATGATTACAGTTTTATTTAAAAAAAGTCATACTCCACCAGAGGCAAAGAAGGGAGATTTGTAATACAGAATACTGTATGCAGTTAAAAGGTTGCTCCCTTTGCTCCTTTCTCCTTTTTGCCTTTCCTTGAAGGGAAATGTTTGTGAGAACACCAAGATAAATTTCTGATAATCCACCAAGAAACAAAATATACACCACCTAGAGACAACAGAGTTTGAAATTATGGTTGATTATGACTGGTAGTGATAAACCTTTTTTCTGTTTGTTTCTTTCCTGTTCTAAGAGCTTCTGTCAAACAGCTGCTTGAAACTTTATTTTTTTGTAAACAAGAATAATATATAATCACATAGTTTGACACGGTATATGTAGCCCAAAATATAAAATAGGTTAAGTTGGGCTACCATGATTTGTTCTTTATAACATTGTCTATGGCAGGAATCTTTAAAAAGAATTGCTGAATTCTGCTATTGCTGTTGAAGGGCCACTGGTATAAGTAGACTTGAGGCCTCATACAGACTGTTCTCTGTTTTGTCTGCCTGAACTACTCATCTGACTCATCTCAACGAAACCCTGAGATATGTCTTGATTACAGGCTTCCCCTTATTCTCATCAGATGATATTAATAAGACGATAGCCTCAAATATTTAAGTGAACTAAAGGGAAATGTCAACAAGTCTAAGAAAGGTCCTGAAGAAAATCCTGACAGACAGTGAAGCTGTTTATAGAAAAAAAATAGACCTTTTTGGTAATTTTATGTAGATATAATTGAAAATGAAATAGATGTCCAGGTATGCTTCACTGCATAGGTAATGCAGTAAATAAAACATACTAGAAAAACTAGTGTTCTGATGGCTATGCAGTGTGAAAATGAAACTGTGAATTCCTAGATGAGGTATCATACTGCGTAACATGGACAACCTGTCTAGATTGTAGGATTCCTGATAGTTAAGCATGAACTGTAGTTCTGTTACAGCTCAATATAATATGGTTTGTATCATCACCCAAAAGCTGAAAGCAGGGATTATTTGCAAATTACTGAGAAGCATTTTAACTGAATGCAACTCATCTTAAAAACTTTTTTTTTCCAGTGAGCTAAATTAAAAACTAATCACCAAGTTGATACCTTTCCCTTCAAAACTGTGACAATTAAGGATAGTTATTTGTGGACAGTGTATGACAAATCAGTTATATTTCAGTTTGGTTTTACAAGTGTGACCTTCTGTAGCTTAGGAGCGTGGCTTTCCTTTACCTTTGCATAATTTTGGATGTTGTGGCAGCATCAGCTTCCTGCTGTTGACTAACCTTTAGTTTAGAAGCTTGGAACTGAATTTAAAACTTCATGATTTCTGGCTAATGACTAGTGTTTAGTCAGTATATGTTTGTCTTTGTGTGCATGCCCGTGGTTTACAGGAAGGATATAAAGGGAGGTCTGACAGGGTTGGGGTAAGAATGAAGTCTGGACCTGATTGAGTGGTAAGTACAAGCACACAGGGATTTAACAGTCTAGCTTACCTGCAGTAACATAGCACCTATGCAGCCTTTAGCATGAGTGTGCAAAGGTGAGTGCTTCCTGAGGGAAGGGTGTGAGTAAACGTAGAGGAGGAAGGGAGGTTTAATAGCAAAGAGAAGGAGTAAATATAGCACTAAATGAATGTTGTGCATCTGCTTTTACTTCCACGTTACTTAATCCAATTCAGTCTTCTCCCGTGATATATCTGTACCGGTTGTATAACCTACATCTCCTTAAGACTGGTGAGAGTTGCAGCTGCAGTACTTGTAGGCATACCAGAGCAGGCTTTCATCTAGCTTGCTTGGGCTACTTGCCCAAGTAAATAAACATAAGGTGGGCTTGCATGGCTGAGGCTTTTGCCTGTACCTGGTACAACATCAGTACTGCCATTACTTTACTAACTGTCTTAAAGGGAATTCAGGCTTTACGTGTGCTGCAGCTGCTCCTCAGTGGCAGTGTAGGCATACTCCTGCCCGCAGTAAGAAATGTCAAGAAAAGATCCCCTCCTCATCATGTTTCAGTTCAGAGGGAGTCCTCATCCTGATCTTTTGGAGCTTGACCTTCCAGTAGTTGCTAGCATGGTGAAACATCTAAAGCATCCAGCTTCAGCTGCACTGAGATTTCATCTGTTGGATGCCACTCACACAATCACTGAGCCTAGCATTTTGGAAATCTCTGACAGCACCTCCAATTTCTTAGAATCAGTGAGTCTGATTAAGATGCTATGTGTAAGACTAGGGAGTGGATTTGTTTTTTATCTCTGACACAGAAAGTAAATAGCAATTAGTTGGATCTTTGTTAACTACGAAGCAAGGGCAGCTTTCATTTTTAATAGCTCCATTTTGAATCCTGTGCTATAAAATTTCCATCATCTGGTCATCCAGTGTTTTTTAGTGATATTTTTGATTTCTGACCTTCAAAACAAGGACTTCTACTTCTTGCTTCTCTTGCATAATCCTTAGATGTATGTGAGGCTTGCAAGGGTGCAGACAATCCTGTTTTCAGTTTTACTTCCAGAGAGGTAACAGCCCCACATAGAAGCTACTCAGTTTTTTCAGAAAGCTGCAGTACTGCTGCAAGCAGGTAACCTCCCTCTAGCACTGGCAAGGCATTTCTGATGGCTGAAATATCTCAGCAATGCTGAAAAATGTTCAGAATATCTAAGACAAAAGATTTTGCAGATTCCTCCAGGTTCTCTCAAGACCTTTCTGCAGGTCATAATATAGTGCAAATTTTGTTACAAAAACTTGCTGGCTCAATGCCTTATTTCTTTAAATGGCTTTTGCTTTCTTCCAGTTTTCTTCATCATTTTGAACAACAGTTCTAAAATGCTGAATATAATAGTTGTGTTAATTTAGTACAAACAAGGAGCTGGTTGTAAAAGAACTGGAAGTTTTAAAAATAGTTTCTTAATGTACATTAACTGCTCAGATGCTACAGGATGAACACCAATAAAAAATCCTTACTTTTTTTTCAAATAGGAGATGTAACTTCAGTGCTAACTAATTCAGTCATCACACAGCAGTCTGTAGAGGTTAGTTGTTCCAGGGCCAATTTCACGTGTAGGGATAGGGTAAGTAATGAAGAAAGAACTAATGTAAACCATCACCCAAGCATATCAGTAGTTCTAGAAGATCTCTAATTAAAAAGTTCCCAACGTAATTGCTGAATCTATAACTCGTACTCATTGGAAGTGCTTTCATGTACTGCACATTGGCTTTGACCTCAGTTCTCTTTAAAGCACAAATTTTACAACTGTCCTTCTTCTGCTGCTTTTTCTTGCAGTAATGCCCGATGGAGTAGAAATAGCTTTGGTATTTAAACCACAGAAGCTAGAAAAATGTATTTGGTCATACTTGCATGGGCTTTCAGCTTTTTATGTAAACAGTCAATTTGTGTATGAGACGAAGCTCAGCTTGCACTGTTCTAGAGCACTCTGCATAGTTGTGTGGCTGAGCAGTTTTATTGTTTGGATGACATTATTGGCATTTCTCTAATCTTAAGTGGCATCACTATTTGTTTGTGGACATGTATAGAATGGGCCTTTCCATCAACTGACAGAACAACATACACTCCTGCTTCCTGTATCAATAGGTTTAGCTGATAAATGTTTAATGCTGAGCATCCTTTTGAGAGTGAAAGTAAACAGAAATAGTCAGTGCTGAATAATTGGCCTGACGTTCAATAACGTAGAAAACCTCCAGCTCCAGTTCAGAAGGTGATGAGCAGATTCAAAAACCTGGTTACTTGCAGAAATACCTCATTTGTCATTTTGATGGCTATTAGCTATTCAAATTTGAAAGTCATGCTTGTGCTTTATAGTATACCTTCATAGCTTCCAAGTCCTGGGCAGATAGTATCTGTAAGTTTCCAAGGTGCTGAAGGACAAGACAGACAAATTTCTGGGTTCAGAGCTGACATGAGTGCTAGCTTCTTTAGGTCTAGTAAGTAAATGTTGAATTATTGCTTGCTTTGCAGAGAGCTTGCTGTGTCTTGTGGTAACGTGTAAATGTCGTTTGCAAAATCACATGTCATACCATGAGCTTAATCATGCTAACATCGCTTGTTAATTGTTCATTTCCAAGCTTGGGCATAAATGCTGTTTGATTAGAGCCTGATTTTGCACTGTGATTGTACGTAAAGATAACAATACTGTCATACAGCATATAGCATTGCTTTCATTAAAGATTGATTTATATGCTATGATTTGTTTTTTCTTTTTTTTCTGCACAGATCATCGTGTGGTTGGAGAAAATGCTAGATAAAATAATCAGCATTTTCATAATATTTTTGCTAGTGATAGGAACCCTTCTGCTAGCTCTGCTCCTTACTGCAAAGGTACAGTGTGCTAAAGAATGTAATCATAGAGCTCATTTTAAATGCTGAATGAAAGTTACTAATATTTATGCCAAATTGTATAGCTTAAATAATCTTTTGCAAAGTTGAGCAACTAAATGCTCTGTAGTTGAACGTGTTACCATTCTGAGACTTATCTATAAAAGTCTATGTATTCGTATTTATTTGTATTTACATGTTTATTTACATACATGACAAAACTAATTATAGACATTTGGACATAAAAAATTTATTCTAGTAAAAGAATTACTAGCTTCTATATTACAAGAACAGATTTGTTTTACATCTGGTTACACTTTTCATGTCAACAACAGAGCCACTTAAAATCTTTTCTTTTTAATTCAGGTTGTATCAGAAACATAGTTGCAAAATGCTTGAGGTGTATTTATCAGTTCACTTGTGTAATTGTCTCTAACCTCATAGTATCCAGTTCTGAGTTTAAATGTGCTAATATTCATGATCAGATGTCCTCTGAAATGGATTTTTTGGTTTGTGGTTGGATTTTTTTTTTGTTCACCAGAAGAGGTCACTCATGTACTTTTTTTTTTTAATGAGGCCATGTTGATACTTGAAACAGTCAATGGAGATTGAATGATTGACTTTGAATACAGTTACAGAACAAAAATCAGTGGGTTCTGATACCAATCTCCTTCTTCCAAAATGTAGAGTGTGATAATGTTGACTACTTAAAATTGAAAGCTTTAAAAGTTGTGCAGTCATTCCTGCCTAAAGCTTCCTTATATTCATTAAGGGATCATTAAGAAGCTTATAAAAGATGTCTTTAATCATTCTTACCGAAGAATTAATTTGGCCAGGCACTTCATAGCAAGGTTGGTCATGTTAGAGCTGAACGTTCATTAATTTTTTCACATCTTTGACCCATGGCTTAAACAGGTATATCTGAAACTGTGCATTGTATTTTAGTGCTTCTCTTGACGGCACTGCTGTACTGTTAAATCTTTTTCCACTGATGAGATAAGGTTTAAATTTCTACTTGCTATTACTAGTCAGACAGTGTGTGACTAAAGTCGTCAGAGACTGATGATTGTTGTATTGGCTGCTTTTTTTGAGTTAATAGCACTTAATTCTTCATAATGGGTTGTCTGCTTTGGAAGAATTATCCTTTAAAAGGATGAACTGGCCACCTATCCCGCACCTGAAAAAAACAAAACAATATGTAGGAAGAGTACTGATTTGCATGACATAACATTTCTCCTCTTTATATTTAATTTAGGTGCATCAAGAGAGTGTTCACATGATTCAAGTCACAAGCAGCTTGATCAATGAGACAGTAGCCAGTCACCCAGAATGGGCAAAGTAAGAATGCTGAAGTTAAGCAAATAGTATAGGGTGGGTGAACAAGCTTCCAGGGGCTGTTAAGCATAGTTTTTAATTTAAAAAAAAAACCCTGAGTGAACAGAAATGGGAGCGACTGTTTCAGACAGATGTAAAAGCTAAACTTACAGGTAGCAGTAGTGTTTATGCATTACTCTGGAGGACTGTCAATGTGGTATGTCATTTGAGGACCAGTTGGACTTTGGTAGAGAAGGACAGCTACATAAACTTCTCTAGTTACAGTTTTGGAAGAAAAACTTGACTAGTGCAGAGAATGAAGTAGTCAATATTCTTTTCCCTTTTACCTGCAAAAGAAAAACAATGGCAAAGAATGCTCTCTGTAAAAGGTTGAGATGAGAGCTGAATTATTTTTCCAATGTGGAGAGCTGGCTGCAGAATGTCTTTGAGGGAATAGAAGTTGAAGAAAATGTTTTTGGAATGGTCTGAAGAAGAGTTTGAGGATGGAAAGAATGGTGGATGGGGAGAGTTTGGTATGAATTAGTTGGGAATGGCTGTTCCTATTAAGAGTAGATGTGTATAGTCTGCGCAGTAGGAATCCTGTAAGATATGGTCTATGTAATGATTAAAGCAAACACCAAGGCAAATAAGGGAGAGAGAAGATTTTGAGAAATGCATGTAGAGGAAAACGGGCACACTGGTGAGCAAAGAAGTGGTTGCATGGACAGCAGAGGGGCAATAAGACTGAAGAGTGTGATTTTGAGGGGGGGGGGGAATGTTCCAGTTTGCTTTCATTCTGCTTCAGCTAAGCAGACATTGAGAAAAGATGAGTGCAGGCACTTACCAGGAAGAAAGAATTGTCTCCTGGACAAGAATGGTTGACTTTTTCCAAGGGCAATTTCTGAACAAAAGTGATGATGGCTTAACAGGATTGAAAGAAAGTACATGCTGTATTATAAAAGCAAGAGAAATTTTCAAAACCAGAACTAAGATTATATAGTTAAACGCTACAGTGACGCGTGCTTTAGCATTACTTAATACACAGCCAAAAGAACAGAAAGCACTTAAAAATGTGTTTGCTTATTCCTTCATGACATCTCTTGTCTTGTTTGGCCTTTTTATTTTGCCACAAAATGGAAATAAGTAGGACTAATGAAAATGGAAATTTGACTGTCGGAAGCTTATTCGTGTGATGAAAATACTGGAGTACTGGTTGAGTAATTAGCAGAATTTTAGCTAAAATTTTTATTTCAAATTTGAAGCATCCAAAACACTATCTTAGAATTCATTAGCAGTATGTATACCTCTTGCCAAATCCATCAAGCATCAACAGCTTTCAGAGCTTGATGTTCACATTACGTTTAGAGGGGAGTGACTGAAATGTCTTGGAATTCCAATGCAGAACATTTCTGAAGGGTTATTCAGACAGAAAAGCTTCCATATTGATCTTCAGTCAGGTGAACAAATGCGGCAGTTTTACTTCCTGAATGTTTGTTTATTTCTTGTTTTGGAAGGGCTCCAACGTGTGCCGTTGAATCAAGATGTAGAAAGAAAGTCAAAGCAGAGAATGTGTGCCCTGTATTCACAAGTGTTGAGATGCTGGCAACTCAGCAGCTCCATTGCTGGAGTGTGACATGAATCCCTGAAGAAATTGATGAGCAGATTGCTTGGTGTGGACTTAGAAATAACTGGTGCCCAAACCCTGTTGCTTCATCTGGTCGCTTTTTCAGGGAAACTACGTTAACAATTTACATTCAGCTCGCAATTCAGAAGGTTGTCTTTGCCGCTAGACAAGACTGCTTCATGTAGTATTTTCAGAAAACTAGAACACTAGGAAAATTTCTAAGCATATAGTGTGAATACCACACATACCGATTGAAGAGCAGATCTCCGCTGAAAAAAGTTGAGATACCAATTTAACTAAGATTTCAGGAACCTTGGAAAATTCCAAATGCAATTATGTGACCTAGATTTAATTGTGCTTTACTTATGAGAAGGACTGTTCCTTGATATGTAGAAGGAAATATTTTAGTTGTTGTAAGTTTATATATATTTAACCTTAACTGTTGTTGCTTCAGAACGTTAATTTATAATGTGTTTTGGGTGTAATGAAATGGGTAAAATACCTAGCAGTTAACTTTGTTTTCCTTCTTTGAAAAAACCTAGCTGGCTCCCAGAAGCCCAGGTTATTCAGAAAGCACTCAATTCAGCAGCTAATAATGTATACCAATACGGCCGAGAATGGATTACACATAAGGTAAGAATGAGCTCCCTCACCTTTTATAAAATTTTCATTTTTTGTATTTCATAAAACTAAAAAGAAATAAAAATATTTTTGTCAGTGATTCTTTTCTGTGTGGTTAACTGTTTTATTGACAGATCTATTCTTTCCACTCTGGTTTGTGAGTTGAAGGAAGGGTGGGAATAATTCAGTCTTGTCTGCTCAGAAGAATATTTATTTTTCAGAGCTGAAAAATCTGTCATCATTTTAATAAGAATTCCAGTGAAAATGCATCAAATAGAGAGGAGTAATTTTTTTCATCTGGCTTTAGCTGTCTAATTGTAAATTGTAGACAATGTAGGCTTTCCTCCTCCCCCCGCCCATATTCTAATTCCTATGTGGGCTGGGTGTGGTAGATTGGATTTTAACAAAAAAAAAAAAAAAAAAAAAAAAGTTAACTTTCTTCAGGAGAATTTGCCAAGATTCTTATTTATACAGTTTGATACCTAGCACACATCTCAAATTATTTGAAATATTTACTCTAAAGATTATCAAGGATTTTGGATTAAGCATTTTAGAGATGTCATTGTTTTTTCAGTGCAGAAAAGTCCTCAGTTTAGTGCAGTAGAATGTTTTTCTTTTCCTGACAAAATCTTCATGTTATGAACCATGTTGTCTGAAGTGTATATTCCATAACGATACTCAGCTTTTCCTAATCATTTGGGTTTGAGCCATGCCTTTACTGACAATCTTATGTGATTTATCTAACTTGGAGTTCGTCAGTAGACACCAGCTTCATTCTGTCCTGTATAATAAAAGGTTTCTATGTGTTTTAGCTCCATAAGATTTTAGGAGAAAAAGTGAATAACACCGCTGTGATAGAAAAACAAGTGCTAGAGCTCTGGGACAGGCTTTATCACTCTTGGTTTGTGAAGGTGGGTAACTTATTTAAACAGTACGTATATAAACTATCACTTAGTGCTTAGAAATAATTATGCTAAGTGTACGTTTCAGAGGAAGAGATTGGCAAAAGGTTGGAATGCTGAGTAAAGGTCATAATAAAAAGTTGGTAAAAATTGCAAGTGTATAAGATAGATCATTCTACAGTCAGTTTGAGTGTATAGCCAGAGCTATGTCCTTTGCTTAAGTAGTTACTTGTGGTTTTATTTATAACATTTAATTTACAGTTTGCTCAATTTTTATATTTAATATTTCATAGTTTAGAGCTTTCTGCTGAATTTTCATGATCTTGAGGGGTTAGGAAAAGGAAAGTAGTATTCTGCATGATTTGTGTAACTTCTATTAATTTGAAATTTTGAGGAAGAAACTGCCCTTTCACTAAGTTTCTTAGAGTGCATTTTTGCCAACTGTACAAGGCTTCCTACAATGGATTCTGTACACTGAATCTTGAAAAGTTCATGAGAGTTAAATTATTTTTATGCTGCCAGTGCTATTTGCCTTATAAAGGAAAAAGCAATTCATTAGCCATGGTGCAATGGAAATACCAAATTCAGAAGTCCTACCCCTGAAATACTTTTGTATATTGAAATAATTGCAATTATAGTATATTAACGCTTTTCTGTTATACAGTTGTTCTTAAAGTACCTCTAAAGTTACAGGAAGATCTCTGTATAAAAAGAGTTTCAGTATAGTAGTCAAATAGAAGGGAAAAGAATCAGTTATGTTTTCTGACAAGATAATGCTGTAGAAGAGCATGCAGAGAGATAACATGACACTATTGAGGAATATGGGACCCCTGAGGAGAAATTAAAGCTATATCTGCAATAGAGTTTTGCTGGCCATAAGCACTTGGGAGTGTTCAGTGTTAAATGCTTGACCAATAAAAGCACCTACTTCTGATAGTTTTTTGATACTGGTAAACCTGTTGCTTTTATCAGTATAACCTGTGTGTCAGATGGCCTGTGGCAGGGTGTATCGTTCAGCAGGGCTCTGTGTCACTGCATGTGCTGTAGAAGTGCTTTTGTTGCCACATACAGGTTGGGTCTGTGTTGTTCGTTGTGTTAGGTGTTTTCTTTCCTGCAGTTGTTATTTGAGGGAATACTGTGAGGCTTCTTCCTTGTAGATGCTCTTCTGGTAGCATAAGAAACAGCTTTCCTAGCAATCAGAATGGCAGAAAGAGCTTCAGGAATGCCGTGATGCTCGCTGCCCACAAGCTTGAAGTCGGTTCCCTTGGATGCTGTTTGCACAGTAGATGCCCTGTGTGAACACTGGCATGCTGGGCTGAAACTCCTTACCTGTGGGCTGCAGGTAACCCCTCCAGAGTCTGCTTCTAATCTTGCCCCTTTTATTTCACTTCATATCCACATAGATGTCTCAGATGAGTGCTTTCTACCTGGCTATTTCCTTATGTAACGTTACAGCAGCCTTGCACGTCCTTCAGTGTATCTGAAAACTGGTAAACTAGATGATAGTGCAGGAGGTATGCCTAACTCTCAGTACATCTTTCAAGCTCCCCACTATTTCAGTTGTTCGAGCATAATAACTACGCTTCATTTTGAGGCTTGCATAAGTGTTGCTCTAGTCTGTAGGTGACTGAAGAACCCAGGCTCAGGTGATGTTCTTCCATGAAAGCTGTAGAATTGAAGAATTACTGACAAAATGGTGGATTCAACCGTTAACAGCTACTTTCAGTAGGTAACAAGTGGTGTATATTTTTAAAGGTTCTAGAGATGTTGTAATAGACCAGTTACCATTGCATCTGTGTACCCAAAGTAAAATAGTAACAGAATAATAAGCCACTTGGAAGGTGATGGCATAACTCTGCAGTTAAGGTGTCTTTTCCAATGACAAGAATCTCTTCCTAGTCCACTCAGGTGTGAGGTTTGATTTTGCTTTGTTTTCAATATCTAGTGTATTTGTTGAAGAGGAACCACTTGACAATTCCTTTGAATCCCTTATTTATCAACACCTGAGACCTTAAGTGCTACAACAGTATAGTTGCTGAATAACAATAAACTTTATATGTGTATGAATAACAGTGTTAGAAAATTTGTAAATGATACATAATTCTGCTAGTGGATGGCAGAGCTGTCTTTGAAAATAGAACTAGATGAACAGAAAATAGGTTCTTGATACAGTTCACAAATACAGAAGACCTATTGGAGGGAGATTTCTGACTACTTATGTTTCCGCTCTAAATAAACTGCTAGCTCAGAATGAAGATCTCTGTGTTGCTGTGGATTGTTAAAGAACGTTGCTAATTGTGCATCTTAAAGTGTTAACAATACATCTACAGATAATTGGTAATAAGCAGAAAATTTAATACTCTTAGATAAATTAGTTCAGGGACTTGACTTGGAATACTACTTGCCATGTGTGCCGAAAAAGATACTGTCATTCTGAATGCAGGCTGGTGAAAAGTTTTTTGGAAAAATCTAATGGAAGTAGTGGGATGCTTATATAAACATCAGAGTTGAGAACTTGAAAAGCCTCTTGCTATTAAAGATTAGGATGACATCTGTTGTAGTCAGTGGGTTTTCTTGGACTTAGTTGCAGTAGAATTTTGGCATCTTTCTCTGAAACACAGTCCCAGACAGAGTCAAATATTCTCATGCTAGACGGTAATCAGGTGTGATTCAGTTGGACTGTAAGCAACTTCATAATTAGGGTGAAGCCGCTCAAGGCATTAGCTGTTGCAATTATGGCCATTTCCTGTTGTCCTGCTGTGGTGCAGTTACAAAGCTGTGTAGTCAGAAGAAATCCTCTGTTCTTCCAGTTTAGCTTTTGGCTTTTGCCTGACTGAACATTGCAAGCGGAGTGGATGACACCAGTTGTGAGAAAGCTACTTGTTATGTCTTGTGCTTATATTTTCCTTTGTGGCTTGTGCTGGGAAAAGTTGTATGTTACAAACAGTAAATTGTGTAGTTAGTAACTGAAATGATTAGCTCTTTCTTGTGTGCTTTCATAAAGAGCAAGATAGATACCATTGTATCAGTCAAGCAGTAAAGCTAATGATTAACTGAGGTGAATATACAGTATACAGAACTGTAATTATATGGGATAATTGACTACTCTTTTCTGTCAGTTTTTAATTTTTCCAGTGTCCAGAGTACTTCCAGGTATTTTTGAGGATGCCAATCGAAGCAGCTCTAAGTATTTAGATGCATGTTGGATCTGTTCCTCATTAAGAAAACATTAGTCTTTGGCTTTCTTGTATCTGTAAGCTGTTCAAATGTCTATTTATGTCTTTGTCTCTCTTTTTAAGAATGTAACGCATTCTGGAAGACACAAAGGACACAAATTGCATACAAACCGTCAAAACAGCTGGCTTGGTGATATTCTGGACTGGCAAGATGTTGCATCATTTGTTCACGATAACATTGAAACATTTCTTTCGGTATGTATTTTTTGCCCTTGTTGCCAAATTGGTCTCCAATTCCTCCTTGAACTATCTGTAAGGTTATGGATTCAAGTACATGGAAAATCGTGGAAACACTGTTAGTGTCAGTTACAATTACTTAAGCAATTATTCTAAGCTTACTTAAGATATAACCATACTGCAAGCAGAACTCGTTGTGATGAAGAAGTCCTCCTGATTTCAGCATCTTCATTAATACTAGCTTCCCAGACATCTTCCTGAGAGAGATTGTTACTGTAGGATTACCTGTCGCCTGCAAGCTGGTTTTAAAAGCTTTATGTTATGTAGTCTTTTCTTTTTTAAAAAGAGAGCAATTTGTCTAGGTTATAATTGAGGAAACTATTGACCAAGAGATGGCAGAAACAAAAAAATATATTTTTTTTGTAGTCCTATTTTTTTTCCCCTCAAATTATTATTCATTGAGTTGAAAGCAGCTTATTTATCTCTTCTTTTATGAAAGTTCTGTAGAGAATTAAATTAATGTTTTCCACTATGTGAATTCCTGAATTAATGCATTGGACCTTTCACCTGAGGAGAAAAGGAAAAAGCATAGAAAGCAATCCAAACTGAAACAACTACATTTCTCTAAAAATTAACGTTAAGTCTGAAATGCTTAATATACAGGGTCAATCCCTGATATAGTTTATCTTTGACTTGAGCTGTTGTCATAAGCTAGAAATATCTTCAGGTTACTGTTTATCCATTTTGGAAGAATATTATTTATACCTAACTTGCAGCATAACATTTCTGTGAGTGCAGTTAAAGCTAGTATTTGCCTCAGGGCAGTTCTTGCTTTAGACTGATGGGCATGTGTGCTTTTTCTGTCCTCCCTCAACTGCTACTTAAATGGTTCCAGTTTCTATCATAGAAGATGATGTGAGTCTAGAAAAAGTTGATAGAAACTTTTTATTACAGTGAACCTTTTTTCCGTTAACAGTGAAATTTGCTCAATATTTTCTCGAAGTTGACCATGTGTGCTTGAGACAGAGTTATAAAAATGCATAACGCATCATCATTTAAAATCAATATGGAGTTTCTTTCTAGGCAGGAGGGAGAGAAAGAGGAGAAACTACTCGATAGGTGCTAGCCATGTCATTTACAGCATTGCTGCACAGTGCTCAGAAACCATGATAAGTGTGCCTCAGTAATCTAAATAGGCTAGAATAATGCAGGAAATAGTGTAAAGAGAATAAATATTTAAGACTGAAATACATTAATATTAAAATTTTCATCTAGCTAGAATGCTTTTTTTTTTAATTTCTAAAATCTGGTTTAGAAGTGCAGGAAAAAAGTGCCAGCAGTTGACTTGCTTTCCTGTTTATTTCCATGAACTCATTACTCATCAGTTGTGGGGAAACACCTGCCCTTTTTCTCCATCACTCCTGTCCTTAATGACAGACTGTAAACCAGTCGGCGGGGTGTATATATAGCTCTAAATCCTGATTTCACATCCTTACTGGGCAGTATTTTCTTTGCTGGCTTGCTCATCCACAATGCATTGCATGAATATTACTCACACTGTTATTTCAAGTTAAAATTGATGAAAATCTGATTTCTGTGCTTGTTTAGGTCACTAAAACTTGGAGATTATGAGAGTAAGCATAGCTTTGACTTAAGTCTTGTTTCTAAGGAAGGTGCTTACATACCCTAGGATACAACAGAGGCTTACTGTATTTAGGATTTATGTTTTTCTCAGAGCACGAAAATCTTTCTCCTGGTATTTTGAAGAGAAACAATAATTTATTAGAATGGCATGCTGAATTGGGAAGTAAATATTTTAAATTATGTGGGTGTTTTTGAGGGGGATTGCTTTGGGGGAGGTTTCTTCTGTCTTTTGGGTGGATTTTGTTTGGTTTAGGGGGGTTTTTGACTTTTTTGTTCGCTTTTTTGTGTTTTGTGGGACTTGGATTTTTTTTTTTTTAGTTGAGTGTGTCGTGTATGGTGGGGATTATATAGGGGAAGCTGGTGGGGGGATTTAAATAGGTTAGCTATAATTCAGACTGTAGGATGTTTCTGCATTTGGACACTTGAAATCAATGCTAACCTGCAATTCTTAAGAATATTAAGAGTATAGCAAGACACGATAAAGTCCCAAAACCTCTTTGACAGCTTTTTAAAACACAGAACATTTAAAGACAATGAGGTAACTGCAAAGAAGTATATATGAATATGCAGCCATGGTGAGGTTTCACTCGCTTTTCAAAAATAATAAACTAAGATTACACCACTTGCACATAATAAATACTTATACATATATTGAGGCTGAAGTTTACCATAGAGTAACTGTCTTGCTAGCCCTTTGTCTTTCTGAAATATTTCAGAATAGTGCAGGTGACTCTGTTCATTGAAAATACAGCTGTTTGATAGTGTTGTATTGCAGTCGCAACCAGGTAAGCTCTTTCCCATTGATGGAAATCATAGGAAGGGTTCATCCTCTTTAGTAAGAGAAGGAGCATTTGCTATAAGGAAAATGTTAAAAGGAGACAGATGCAAGCTTTTCACTTCAGTCTTTGCCTGTAGTGGAAGAAACCTTCGTATTAGAGTTGAAAGCGTGTAATTAAATGACTGGTATAGCTGTGCTGGGGAACTACTGGCATTCATTTAATTTATAACAATACGCATCAATTCAGTGCTTTGACTATCAGATAAAGCATGGAAGACTTCTGTACCCCCCTTGAAATGTACTGTTGATTATAGCAGTTATACTTAGCTCTACGGATGTAGACAGACCTTAAAGTAATTTGAAAATAATTCACTATATAAATGTGTAAACGTCCTGAAGATTTAATACGAAGATAAGCTTTTCCAAAGCATCAGTTTGTTTTTTTCTAAAACCTTTGGTGATAGCAGCACTTCCGCCTTTCAGCTTTGGATTTTTCCAGTATTCTTTAGAAGCAGTAGTGTTATACACCAGTTTATCCAGTGATGTGTTTCTGAAGTGGGATTTATCTCATGCTGTTCATATTTTGGGGAGAGAATGAGCGTGGATCCTCACTTATGCCTCAGATTTTGCACCCCATGCTCTATTCTAAGGTAGCTTTTCAGGTGAATGAAATACACAATGCATATCTGGACTATTACGATTTAATTTCTGAAAAATAAAAACTCATTCCTTCCCCACTCACCTGCTTTTCCATTCATATCCTTTTCTTCCATTTCTTGAAGGCTTGAAACCTTGAAAAAGTAAATTGCTGCTGGCTAAATCTCTGAATGATCCCTCAGAACTCCCTTGATGGTATATGAGACATTGCTAATGTCTCCGTAAATTGATCTTTTTGCCTCTTGCACAAGAATATTCATCATTCCACCAGCAGCTGGTATCTCATTCAGAGATTTCCCAGACAGGAAGACAGAAGACCTTCCATTAAGACGTACACAGCGAGCTTCAGCTCAGTTAGGTTTCTCTGTCCGTGCCTTTAGCGTGACTGATCTGTGTGTTCCAAATCAAGTCACTTTTTCAACTATTTCATTGATTTACCACATGTCCTAATGTTTTCTTTGATCCTAAGAGTTTTTTCAAGTCATTTCCTAAATTCATAGTTAATACAGTCCATTCTTCAGTCCATTCAACTACCATGCTGCTTTTTTTTGCCCTTTTTTTTTTTTTCTAGTAAGGTGGGTGTTCAGAGATTTTTGTGTTCTTTTCATAATGGGTATTGGTTGTTTTCAGGGTAAATGAAATTCAACCTGATGCATACTTTTAGAGAAGGAGTTGATTTCTTTACAATGAGAAAGTCAAAGACATGATGCTGAAGGGTAGTCCTTTTTCTGTTGCTGTTTTGTCTCCATTTCATATAAAGGTCAAGCAAAGATTTTTTTTTTTTTTTTTTTTTTTTTTTTTTTCCCAAAAATAAGCTGTTAAGCCCTGAAGGGTTAGCCTGGAACTTTATGGGTAAACATTTATTCGGAAATCAGCTTTTAGTTAGAGCAGGAAGCCATTGATCTTGTGTATATTGTAGTATTCTTCACAAAGTCCATTGCTTGTCTTCTACCTTAAAGCTTTATTGACTTGTTGTGTTGCTGTAATTTTTGAGTTGTTAGGGTGATGCATCTTTCTGAACAGAAAAAAAAGTATACATAAAGACAAGGGTTTTTTCCTAATACCTCTTTGTGTCCAGTTTTATTCCCTTTATAAATCTGTTAATGATCTCTATAATCAAATTAGGTACATGGACTTACGTGCCCTCCCAAAGTTTGTTGACTTGAAGTTTTCAGCAAATAATTTGTTGTGGTCAAGTGCCTTTTAAACCTTACTTGCATTTATTGGCCAGTTTAAGTGGCCAGTAGGACACCTTAGATGACTAAAGAACATGAAGTGCAATTTTGATTTCTTGCCTGTTACAGATTGGAAAGGCACAGCAACTGATGCTGACGGTGTCACATCCCATTGTGATGCATAAGGGAGTCTTGAATTCTGTACAATTCTTTTAAAGACTGATTTCTTAAGGCTATTTACAAAGCAGTGTTTTGGGGAAAGGGGTGTGTTTTCCAGTTATTTAATAACAATACTTTAAAAAGTATAATAATTGCATAAATTTTCACACTTGGTCGTGCTTTGGAGAACTGGTCTCAGCTGGCAAGATGTTAGAAATCGTTTATGCACAGTAACTGTAGTAACTGAGCTCATTAACTCAGCTGCAGTGTGCTCTGGGACTCAAACGGCATTATGAACTCGTAGGGGCAGGTACATGGAATTTGTGACTGTTAGTGAAGTATTTGAGCACTTTCTGATACTGTGTTCAGTTAGGATTAATGTCTGCTATGTCTGTTTTCTCATCCTAGTGATGAGAAGCGCGTGTCTTGAGATTTTAATGGTATGTATGCATAAAGAGGAACTTGCTCTTTAGCTGGAGATGTGTCCTAAAAGACGCACTTGCTTTCGTAAGACATACTGAAGCTGAGCAAAAGGCACTATCTGCACTTACTCTTAAGCAAATGCTAGTGCTAACTAGTTCAACAGTTCCAATCAATGACTCTGCCTGACAAGGATGTTCGAGGAGAACCATTCCTGATATTGACTGAACCACCTTGATAACTGCATTCAAACTAACTGCAGTTGTATACTCCTGGTTATCAAACCTATCCTTAGGCTAAGGCTTCTAGGGAAAGCGTTAAACAAATACAACCTGTGCTGGAGGAGCATACTACTTCGAAGGAAACTGTCCCAGCCCCTACCAGATGTATGCTGTCTTGTAGCAGATGGAGCAAGGCCCTCTCCTTGTGAACTGCTCACCAGTATCAGCTCAGCTGATGTGTTGCGAGTGACAGCATGCGAGGGAGGGAATTAACAATTGCTGTGATTAGTATTTAGAAGACTGATGAATCAGGCTAGTTTTAATCTTTAAAACAAACCTTTCTTTCGTTAACACCACACATCGTGCTGATGGCTTGTTTTACAACCTACTAATTATTACTGTTAAAGTGGTCAGTCCTTAACTGTCATACCCTACATGATCTGTGAGGATAGAATACCATCGTGGGGATGCTCTGTAGTTGGCACCAATAGCCTCTATCCTTGATGGTCTGAGTCACAGAAGTCAAAGGGAGCAGTCTCAAGAGCTCTTAAATATGTAAAGGTGGAACTGAAATGGACATTATCTTACCTCAAATTAAGGAGCTTGTCCTTTTATAAGGTGTTTTGGTTTCTGGACAACTCCCACCCCTTGTCCTCTGCCCTGGACTGTATGCTGTGTGATCCTGGTAGAGGCATTACTTTCCCAGGTGGTGGCAGGTGCCTTATCCTGTTGCTTCCCTGTTTGTTTGTTTGTTTGTTTTCCCTTCCTTAGTTGCTACCACATTTTCTTAAAGCAAAAGCAGTCTTTTCCTAGCTCTTAAGGTTGTGCGTCTTCAATGCCTTCTTCCTCAGTGAAATCCTTGTGTTTCAGGGACCTTTGTTTTCAACCTGTCTCCCTATTTTCAAGGCTTTTGCTGCTATTCTGTGATTAAACTCCACATCATAACAGGAGACCTGTGGCACCAAGCTCCTGTTCGCATGCCACGTTCTTGTAACAGGCTTAAGCATCTGGCACTGGAGCCTTGCACAGTTAGAACACAGTTTATAGCCTGTTATCAGCAATGACAGTACTATTTTTTACTGAACACCAACTGAAAGGCCTCTGCTCTAGCTACAAACTGCTCCTTCCAAAATCACTGTTCTCTGTGTTTATAGACCTCATAGTGTAATGTACCGTTAATAAAGTTACCTGGCGGCTGCATGTGCTTATACTACTGCTGCACCCCTAGAATGAATTCTTAATCTGTAGAAGAAGGGAGACCAGTACCAGTGCCAGAACATTTTTCAGCAGAATGTCCTCTTCACTTCCAATCTTACCTGAATTCTCAAGAGAGACTAATAAAATCTGCTCAAAAGATGAGCCTTAAAATTCATTATTCCCATTAAATATTAAGCAGCATGAATTAAGCAGATGTTTCTATTTTTACTATGTGTTGTAATTCCCTGTAGCTTCCCCCAGCACATACTCCCTCCCAAGTTTGTGCTTAATAAATTATCTTCTCTATATTTCACTCGGTTCCAAAGCGGAGGCGATCACATGGCTCATGCTCTTTTGTCTGCTCTACAAATGCCAACTACTGGGTTGTTGGGGTTTTTTTGTTTGTTTGTTTTGGGTTTTTTGGTTTTTTTTTTTTTTTTTTTTGTTTCAGTTCAGTCTTATTAAGATATTAATTAAACCAAGAGTTAACTGTTGATAGTTTTGAAGTCTTCAATAACAGCATTGAACCTGGAGAAGGGCTTTTGTGTCAGAGCTTTTACAGTTTTTCCAGTTATATTAATTACTCTGAAAGAAGGTGTGGCTTTGTTTGTGCTTCTTTCATATGTTTGAATCCCTTTGGCTAATACATTCTTAGTGTATTCCTTCTGGATGAAATACTTGTTATGAAACTACTGTGCATTGCATTTAGGATGCCTCTATGTGCCATGTCATGCCTTTGTCGCTCGTGTCTCATGACATTGCTGCCCTATTCAGATTGATGTGTCTGCGAGCATACATAAACTAATTTGGCTGTATTGGGTATTCTATGTTTAAAGACATGTCTCAGAACTACTCTACTATCTGTAACTAATAAGCAATCAGTTCCCCAAGCCCGTACAAAATTTAATACATTGTCTAGCATTGTTTGATTTATTTTCCACAGTTGCCTGACTAACTGACATATCCCTACTCAAAATCACAACTTGTGTAGTTGTCTGCAGACATTATAAAAATGATGCATCTCATTACCATAAAACATTTTTAAAAAAAAATTTATTAAAGTAGTAATTCTATTATTTGATTTGAAGCTGTCTTCAGATTTGTTTCTGCCTTCTGGTGTTACTCCTTGTTCTTAGTGTTTTAGCATTTCTGCTTTTAAAAAGATAGGTTTTCTCTCCCCAGACAATATCTGCCTTCAGTTGATGGTGATGTTAATCTCAGTAAACAAGTGTCACCACGTCTAGATTTTTTGCAATTTTGCATAATGAAATAATTTTTAGCATTGGAGAGAAATTCTAAAACCTTACAGCAATCTACCTAGAAACTGGTCTTTGGTAAAGTGGATGTTTTCACTTGATGTTACCTGCTGTAATTCAGGAATAAAAGAAGGTGATTTTTAAAAAAAAAAGTCGTCTTTGTGTGTCTTGATGGAGATGAATCACTCTAAGTAGTTTTCTGTGCTAGCAAATACCATCCAGTGCTTGAGTTTGTCTTTGCTTCCCTCTCCTTTTCCAGATCCTGGAGTCTCTGTGGATCGTGATGAGTCGCAATGTGAGCCTCTTGTTTACTACAGTTACAACATTAGTGACAATCCTCTTCCATAGTGGGACAGCTCTTCTCAATTTTGTGCTTTCAGTGGTAAGTAGTATGTCATCGGTTTACATGGTCCGTTTTACTGAAGGAACCTGCTTGCACGTGTTGTAACAATGAAAAATCAAACCTAAAGGACTGAAAACATCTAACATTATCTAAACCCAAAGGTTTTTAAGATTTTGCAAATTTCAGATCTGTTGTTTGGAGGGCATTCTAGGCAACAGACAGGTTTTGTGTAACTTTCCTGTTAAGGAGCTGGCAGTCTTCCTATTAATTCTGTTAATGGAAAACTCTTGTTTCTGGCCTTGAAGATAATTAGCTGTAATTTGTGATATCCTACATAGCTACTGAAATCTTACAGCATGTCCTCATAAGCATATCTTTAAACAAGCCAGTGCTCTTGCAACAGGAGAAAAATTGTTACAGGGAAATGTCAACGAAAGTATTTATTTCAAAAGGATTACCTTATATTCCCTTTTTTAATGAAGTGTCTCCAGCAAATCTGTATGAGGGGGTTGTTGCATTGTTTTTATTTAACCTCTGTGAGCTCTTAATTGCATAATGCTTCCTACACAAAGTTAATTCTTACTAATGTTATTGCTCACAGTGAGTAGAAGTATCTGAAACCTTTTTATTACAGGTGGTTTTTTTAAAGGATGTCTTGCTTTTTAGTGTATTATGTGAGCTAGATGTTTATAGTTTCTTTTGTTTCTAAATGCCACAGCTGTGTGCAGTAATTTATAATGATAGAGGTAACTTCTTTCTTCTCATTTGCTGTGACAGCTGTTATTTAGAATAAAAATAAAAATCTCCTAAAACACTGGCCTGAGACTTTTTCCTGTTTTAACTAAACAAATACTGATCTTGGAACCTTGACTGAAATCCACGTCTTGGTTTTTAGTTCAGGATTCAAAAATATTTGTTAGAAAAAAAATAATTTTGCCAGTTTAACTTCATTGCCTTCATTGGTGCTTGTTCAGGACGAGGTCTTTATAGACAAAGCTGAAGAATTGAAATAATATTTAACAGCGTTTCAGGGCAGCAGTGTGGATTCTCTAACGTTTAAGAAAGAGCAGATCACAGTAAGACTTAATGGAATGGCTGTTTTGAACTGGAGAAAACACCACTTAGTTTTACTGTTCTCTAGCTATCTTTTGGTTAGTAAAGAAAAGATTGCATGGGAATATTTAATTTCTTTTCTTCCTTAGTCCACAACTTTACCTGTGAAGGCACATTGAAAACAGTGTCTGAGAAGTTTGTATACTTAAAAATTACAAGTTTTGATAATAATTGCAAATTATTTCAGTGGGCTCATTACTCGGACACAAAATATACCTCTAGATGCCTAGTGGCTTCTATGAAGTTCATTACATGCTGTTGCTGTGATGCATGATCCTGCCTTATAGGAAATACTTGTTTTGATACATGTATGAGTTTTTTCTGTAGAATCTTGATAATGGTAGCCTTTGAAATGCAAACAGCAGAACTGGTAAATTACAAATACTTCAACTTTTAAGAAATAAGGCAAAAAAAATCTCTGAATTGTTAACTGTACTTCAGATATGCTGGGGTAAAGGGATATGCTTGCCTCCATTTCTCTGCACAGAAAATGTTATGTATGAGTGTTGGCATTCTTGTAACTGTATGAACTGTCTCTTGTGAAGGTATTTAAAATACGCATGCCTACCTGAAGAGTAATTATTAATGCTGTTAAACACTGTGGGAGTGCTATAACTTAGTCTTGTTTGCACTGCACATTTCCTAGGCTGTTGTGTCTATTCAGAGGCAGAGTTTCTCATATTTATGAAAGTCTTTCGCAAAGGTTCTTGCTCGAAAAATTAAACAGATCTTCTTAAAACACAAAAAGGTAAATTAATGGACTTGTTTTTATAGTGTTTAGTGTGGGTTTCTTGACAGCTTATGTCTGAAAGAGAAAGTACTTAAATTTAGTATATTCAGTAAATGGCCTGCACTAAATGAAGATTAATACAATCCATTATTTGGGGCAATAAGTAAATGAAAACGTTAGTTGCTGTGAGAATTTAGTTGAACCCTAAAGTACTTTTTAGGATATCTTAACTGTCATGGAGTCCATGTAGAAATAACATAACTGCTTCTTAAATTTTCCTTGTGCTTTTTTTTCTCTTTCCCAGCTGCAACAGCTTAATGCAAAAAGCAGAGAAAATCCAGATGTGACCCTCGGATAAATCACTGCAATTTTCTTAACTTTTGTGATGTACATTGTTACTGAATCCCATTTGGTATTATGTCATTGTTAGATTTACCTGCTCTTCACGTTCCTTCTTTCAGAGCTAAAGAGAAACACCCTCCAAGTGGGGAGGAGAAGACCAGGAGTTACCTTAACAGTACTTGTTCTTCTGGGATCTCGAGGCATACTCGCATCTTTTGCTATAGAGACACCTTTTAAAAATAATTTGCTTTCTAAGCATGGCTAACAATTTAGTTCTTCTTTAAGCTGAGATTTCAGCATGAGCTGTTTTCTGCTCTCTTTTGGAAAGTCTTGAATTACGAAGTTCACAATTTCCTGGGAAGATTCTCACTGTTGTCCAGTAAGGAGAACGAGATTTGGTATAGAGTTAATTTTGAATGTGAAGAACAAATAGTTTCAGAGATTTTATTGTCTTAGTTTAGTTTCTGCATCTTTGACTGCTACCTTGCCGAGTATCCTTTTGCCATCTTTCTCTCTTTTTTTTTTTTTTTTTTTAAATGCAGTTTTAGAATGGAATCTTTACATTTTGAATGGGCTGAACCCTAAAGCTAGGTAGGCAGCATTTGAGCACATTTTATGTGTTGCTGTGGTCCAGTCAGCAGCATCAGCTGAAAAAGCTGAGTCTCTTGAAAATACCATGTCTGTGTTTTGACAAAAGTTATAGTTAATGGGATACTGAAGGAAGTGTTTTTTCTAAATGTGAAACAGAAGAATTTATTTTCAATTATGTCTAGGTAGAGCTGTGTTTAAAAAAAAAAAAGCACCACCGCAGCTTTAACTGTACTCTTATTTTTTAATTTTGAAGGATTCTTAGTTGCTACAGAAGAGTTTTTACTAGTTTGAAGTGGCACAAACTAATTTAGATTTTCTAACAAGATAATACCTGAAGTGGTTAGCTTTTCAACTGAGTACATTTCAGTCCAGTTTTAGTCATCTTGAATAAAAATTAAAATAGTGAATTTTGTTTTGACAAATGGTTTAAAAAAGTGTGCTTTAAAACACAGATGTAATGGACACTTTGTTCAGAACCTCCATTTTGAAAAATACAACTTGCATCAACACATTCAGTTGGAAGTAATCTGTGTAGCGTATCCATTCATGATCCAGTAAGACTGTGTTAAGATCCTCAACAGACATTTGAAAACTGATTGTTAATTACAAGAATGTCACTCCTATTTCACTTCTGAATACAAGTTCATATCTGCACACACATGCACATGGATGTATGTATCTGTGCCTTTCTCTGTGTGTGTTAGTGTATATATATGCACACATGTATGCTCACACACACATACACACTCTGCTCATACTCTGTTACGAAGATTGGAAGAGAAAAGCTCCATGTGACTGGTTGGCATCTACAGTCCTGCAGGGAAGATGCAAATTTTTGATGCTGTAAAAATAAAAAAAGCTAAGAACACGGCTTTGGGGCAGAAGATTGGGTATGAAAGGCAGATACAAAAATATTTCCCAAGTCTATGGACCTGGCGCACAAGCAATGAAGTCACGTGTTTCTTGATACATGTGGAAATGCTGAATTACCATCTTAGCATAGAATGTTTCCCTGTAGCTTTCTCCTTTAATTGAGTCTATCCCCCCTCAAATTAGAGTATTTAATATTTTGGGCTACAGAACAAATTCTACAGCAAGAAATAGGAATCCATCAGTTGTTAAATAATGGAAGGATCTTACTATTCTATCTTTGAATTTCTCTTTTATAGTCATCAGCAGGATCTTGAATTGTTGCTTAGGAAACAATTTAGGTAACATCTGAAATCTCAGATACCCTGTAGAAAAGATCTGAAAAATTTCAGACTCCAATTGATATAGGGTAGGACATATCTTTTTGCTGCTGAATGTACTAGTGAGGCTGTTCTACTTACTTGAACAGTCAGCAGGCCACTGGTTTGCATTTCTCTACCTATTGAGCTAAAGCAGATAGGTTAATTTTCAAAAATTCAGATAATCTAGAATTCAGCTGATTTGGTATGGTGCTGTGGTTGCATGCATCTTGCCTTAACAGAAATTGAGCTAGGTTTGTATCTTTTTTCCTAGTTTGTTGTTTAGTTTAATGCCATTTTATTCTATTGCTGTTCATCCACAGCTACCACTTTGACTTTTACAGTTCAGGTGGGTATGTGTATGTTAGTGTGCTGTTACTCCCTAAGAAAGCAAGCTTCTTCTGTGAACTCTGGGGAAGAACAGATTTTCCAGTCAGTACAGGTGCTGTGTGTGTTGCCACTAATCCCCAGCCATTATTCACAGCCTGCCTCAAGTCAGCCCTGCGTGTTTTTCATACACAGGGAATCAAGCTTTGCCTGCTGCTGCAGTTCATTTGCTTGTTCCCTTGCTGCAATATTCTTTTCAAAAGGCAACATCTTCAGAAGTTCACAGAGGCTGTCCTAATAAAACAAGATCCAGTGGAGCTGTTTTTCACTATGTTTTTTGGGAATGTCAGGATGAGTGGATATTGTATTAAGAACAGTATGCTGCTTTCTGTGTTGAAAACTACAGTGTAAGAAGGATCTGTAGCTGGATCCCAGTGGAAGGAAGACGAAACATCACCTGGATGCCTACTTCAATATAGGGAGTTTTGTAGCTAAATCAGGAAGTAGTACAGTAGTTTAGGAGAAACAGCAGGCCATATCAAGGAGAAAACCTATCAAGGAGAAAATAACCATACTTGCAGCATTACAGAGGATGCTAAAGTCTGATTCAATTTTTAAGATATATTTGTTTGAAATTCTAACAAAACATAGCTGATACTGATACTGCTACTGGCACTGGATTATTTCCTGTTAAACCAAGGCCTAATTCAGTTTCAGGGTTTTTTGTTTTGTTGTTTTTTTTTGTTTGTTTGTTTGTTTGTTTGTTTTTTTAATGATCTCAACATTAATGTTAACAGTATGGTGTTTTAAATGTGCTGATGTAATGACTTGTTGTAGCAGATAGATTGGTTTATCACCCAAAGCAGAAGTTACACACCTGGGAAGATGGAATACAGCCTAAACCTGTATATGACATTTTGGAAAGTGGTCACAGTAGGTGAATAGCTGAGTCTGACATTCAAGACAAAGGCTGGGAAGGTGGTGAGGAGGAGTAGTAAAATTTCACTGAGTAGAAAGGAATTGGAAGCAGTCAAACTGATGGCATTCTTGAGACTGAGAATTGAATACTGCATGTTGTGCTGTCTAGTACTGTCTGCATTTTTTTTTTTTTTTATTCTTAGTGTGTTCAGAGAGAATGCAGGAATAGGGCATGAGGTGTCTGGGTCTGGATAAATTGCTTACGGAGGTCAGGCTGTTTGGCTTATCAAAAGATTAAGATGTCATTTATTCTAGCATACAAGTAGATTGGAAATAAGGAAAGTGAAATATTTTTTTTTAATCTTGTGAAGAAAGAAAAAAGATCTAAGGCTTGCAGATGAAGCAAATATAAGCCATAGTTTAACACTGAAGCATACAGTGGATTTTCCTTGTTTGAGGTATTCTGTTTCAAGCTGGACACGTTTCTGTGATGTATGCTTAGCCCAAGAAATTGCTGAGCCCACTAACAGGAAAATAAGGAAAACACAGTGGACTTGAGTATACAGGAAGTTAATAGAATCTGATTGTATTTTTCTGGTCTTTAAACTAAAACAATAGAATTGCCATCTGTTCTGCTGAGTCTCATCTTTAAATTTACAGGAGTATTCAGTCTGGATTGCCAGCCTAATAATTATAAATTTTCTCTTTGTGAGTTTTTATTTAATTCATATCTGATATCCAGCTGCATAATGACTCTTGAGGCAACTTGGATTTATTTGGCATTTTTTGTTGTCTTTTGGTTTTTTGTTTTTTGTTTGTTTGGTTGGTTTTTTTGTTTGTTTTTTAAGAGTAGATGTTACTATTCAGCAATTTTTTGATCTGCTAAACATGCGGGAAACACACAAATTTCTAGATCTATATGTGACTTTGGGAGGAGGCTGAACAGGGCTAAAGGTTTTATAATGGTTAGTGACAACTGTTAAGTCCTTTGTGGAGCAGGGGAGAAAATTATTCTTCTAGTTCTGTGTGTTTCTCTAAATCTGAGCTTGTGGAATAGTATTTTGTACCTTTTCCAATGAAGTCCAGTATCTGAAGTAGAGCTGTAAACTGTAGTTCTGGAAGGTATTTATTGCCTTTGAATTTAAAACTCCAATTTATTTTGCAGGTGATTTTTCTGACCACGCTGTTCTACCTGTTGAGTTCCAGTGATGAGTATTACAAGCCAGTAAAATGGGTCATAAGCCTGACACCTTTGTCTCAGCCAGGTCCCTCCTCCAATATAGTTGGCCAATCTGTGGAGGAAGCAATAAGGTATGTTGTTTATTTCTTGCCCTTTCTGGAAAATTAGTTTTTAAATTTGATGCTCAACTACAAATATTTAGCAATTGCAACAGCTCATGTTTCAAAGGCGAGGTGCAAATCTCAACAATTCTCAAAAACCTATCACTAATGATTTTTTCCCCCCTTGATTGTTAAAAGAGCAATTTGATTGGACTTACCTTAAAAAAAAGTTTGAGATCTGTGCTGTAGTGAATACTAGTATTTTGTAAAACTGATACACCCGTGACATCTCTAACCCATCAGGAAGCAGTGTGTTTGCAGCTATGTTGGCATTATCAGGTAGGGCAGCTCAGTAGGAGCAGATTCATACAGCAGAACAGTTGAAAGGGAAGACCTGACACCTGTGCTGTGCACATCTGAGTTATTTAGTTTGAACTATTTTTAATCTAATCTTGGGGACTGAGTACCCATTTGCAGCTGGAATGTATTAGATATGCTTCTGGAGTGCATTTTCCAGTTCATTTTCATCTGAGAGGAATCTAGCTCGTGATCTGCATGAACCAAATTACCCCAAATGGAACAACAGGGGAGCACTCTCCTTATCCCATGTGAAGCGCTACTGTACTGCGCTTCCAGAGTGCATGCACAGTGTTTCACGCTCAGTTACCATTCTGATGTTTCACCTCTAAACTACTAGAGTAATTGAAGAAGGATTTTTTTTTTTTTTTTAAGTATGATTCACTGAGATTTAACAATAAAGCAATTTTTGGGGTGGTACAGTAATGTATTTCATTCATCACAGATGAATAAAACTGTCAACTTTCACCTGTTAGCAGCTTGAAACACTAACATGTTGGATTTTAAATAAGGTGTTTAAGGCATAGCTCGCTCTTTCAAAAAAGCTGGCAGACTGGGCAAAGTCAGCAGACTCCATGCAAAGTTCTATACAGCTATTGTCTCTTACACCACTGCTTTCTGTGCCCTCTTGTGCATACATACAAAACATGAATAGACTTTAAACCAGTGCTGTATTAAAACTGCTTTCCAAACTCAATGCCAAATGTTTGCCATTGTTCTTAGGTGTGCTTTACAAGTGAGCATTGTTATCTGTTACTGGAATTAAGCTGTTTCTGGGTACATTTTAACAATGAGAAGGTTATATCATGCTGTGTAAGATCTTGAATGACAGGGAGAACTGCTGTAGTAAGTTTGAAATGAAGGGACAATCGAGACTAAAAGCAACAAATTTGGAAGTCTGCCAGAAAGTTAATAGCCCTGCTACTGAGTTTTCATTGATCACATGGTTGATATCTCAGTTCTGTCTCTTCTGAAGAATGCGAGCAGATTTAGAAAATGAAACTTGTCTCATGATTTTCTTTAGCCCTTGGTAGAAGGGTACCATGTCAGGAATAGGATATGGCTTCTCTGTGCATGGATACTCTACAAGGAGGATTGTATTAAATGCAATTTTAAGTTTATAGGTCTGTGACATAGGTGAACCAAGATACTTGTCAGAGTTTAGAATGGTGGAAAGAAAGAAAGAAAGTAATATTAGAGAAACCACAGGAAAAAAAGAGTAGGAAAGAGCTAGCATGCATCAGTAACTGCAAATACAATGAGAAAAAGCCAGCGTCTGGAGAATGTGAAATGTGAAGCTGCTTGTCATATGCAAGGGAATTCACTCAGTCTTGTGTGTTCACTAAGGTAGCCTGAATCAGTCAGTCATATTTGCTTGTTTGAAGTAGCCAGTACTTGTTGCCTTGTTTGAATTCTTTGGCATGATTCTTCTGAGATTTTCAGAAGTTGTTCTCTCTTGCTCAGTTGTACCTAAGGATTTATCATAAAGCTTCTAGATTAGCTTCCATTCCACTCAATACATTCCACTCAGTGCTTACTGTGATCTTCAGTATGTAAATATGAAGATTTATAGTAACAAATTCCCATGACTTCATGCATGCCAAATTTATTGCCATATGAAAAACAGTTATCACTGCAAGCCATTTCTTTTGTCACAAAGTAGCAGCTATCCTTTGTTTTTGAAGATGAGTTGTTGCTAGAGGAGTAGGAACCTAAAAATGGCTTGTTCACCTCATCTATGAAAGGCATGCAAAATGGATGTTCATGCTTGGTGGTAGGATGAGAGGAAGAGGTTCCTCTTGTGTTATGAATTACCAAATAATGAAACTTCTGTCATCACTTCCATCGTTAGACTGTGATGGCACACAACATGAATTCAGCCTCAGAATACTCATGATGCATTCAAGATGACCAAAAGTATAGAAAGACCAGGTTATAAATCTTGAAAGTCACCAGCTGTGTTCCAGCTCCCCTCACTCTTCAGCAGGACATAACACGTCCACAAAGCTAAGAGTGCATCTAACTAGTCCTGTCCAGAGGGCAAGGATCCTCCTGGCAAGAGATGCTGTTAAATCTCTGCTGCTCAGGGACCAAATGACATGAAAATACTCTTCCATGTTGTCAGTCACTTGCGTTGCTCTTTTATTTAAAATGTGTTCATGAAAAGCACTAGGGAACTTCGATACAATCAAGGAAGTCTGTTCCTTTGAGCCCTTTGCCATTTATGAGGAGAAGAGCAAGGGGGAAAGAAGAGGAGGACAATCAGCAGATGGTTTCTGTAGCTCAAGAAATCCCTTAACTTGAAGCTGTTATCCAGCAAGCACCAAATCAAACCAAGACTTTTTCCCATTTCAGTTTCTCTAATCAGAGCTCTGTTGTAATTTTTATTGTCCAGAAAATAAGTAGCTATAGATTTTATAAATAATTTTCTCACCACCTTGCAAAGACAGTGACAGTTCTCTGTTCATGTGGATTGATTTATGAGCTGTACTGGGGTGAAAACAGCTTTCCAGCCCATTTTGAGCCAAGTGTTGAATCTGACCGTTTCTGTCACGGTATCTCAGACGTTAAATTTGCACTTGAGTAGTGGAAGAAAAAAAGATGCAGCTGTGATGACACTGCAGGAGTTTTAAAGAAGTTGAAGGGAATCCAAAAGCTAACTGCTGCAAGCCATGCATTGAAGTGCACTTCTGGCCTTTGATAGGAAATCTGTTCATCCAGAATAGAAGGGAGACAAGATACCAGCAGCATGTATCAGGTGCTGGAAACCAGCAGGGGTTTGCCAAGGGCGAACCATGCCATGCCATGCCTAACCTGGGAGATTGCTTGACTAGCCTAGTGGTACAGAGGCAGGGTGGTGAATACAGAAGTTCAGTTGGAGGCATCAGAGGACAAGGTTTGAACACCCAGCACAGCTTCACCAAGGACAAGTTGTGCAGGGACCAACATGAGCCTTGCTTTGAGGAGGTGACTGTCCTAGCAGGACTGCCATTTACTCTGACTTGAGCAGGGACCATGACACAGCCTCCCATGGTATCCAGATGGGTGAGGCATGGACACGGTGGGAGAACCACTCTGCCTTGTGCTCAGCAGGACAAAAAAGCATGAAAGTAGGCATGGAAACGGAGTTTCCAAAAAGAGCCTCCTACTCAAAAGGCAGAGTGGCAGGGAGAGTGACAAGAGTGAGGATGCAGTCACCGAAGTGCCAAATAAGATAGCACGAAAACATTTTTATTCTTCTGGTGTTGTTTATTATTATTGTCCAGTCATGAAGGCGCAGAGGCTGGGCCGCCGATAAGGAACCGGCTGGGTGCTCCTGTGACGCTGCTGGAGCCATCTCACATGGAGCCTGGATGGCTGGGGTACTTTCCAGGTGATCCCTGTGGCAGGCGGACCCGCTGCCATCAACGATTCTTCTCGAGGTGGATCCACCTCCATGGGCTCCACATCATCCTTCGGTGGGCTGTCAGGCCGGGGCCTCACACCGTGCCTCAGCAGACAGACACACCAGGGCCCCATGCTGCTCCCCTGTGCGTCCAGAGCTGAGCGCTGGACGACATCTGTTGCATGAGTGCAGGCAATGAATGGCTCCAGTGGCATGAGGGGTAACGTTGTTCCTCCTCCTCTTCCTCCTCCTGCACTGACTGCTCTTCTTCAGGCACCTGGGAGGTGCCTTCTTCTTCAGTGGTTGTGGGAACTGTCTCTCCTGTCCCACGCAAAGGTGGGCAGCCACCCGCCTCGCTGCTCCGGCTGCGCCCTGACAGGCACACGCGCCTGGGCTCCACGCTGTTCCCTGGTGGGCCTGCAGCCAGGCGCCACGTGCTGTCTATCAGAGAAGCAAGGTCAATTGCGCCCGTGGCACAAGGCGTGTTTTTGTTGTTCCTCCTCCTCCGCTGCTTCTGTTTCCTCCTCCTGGGAGGTGCTTTCCGCCTAAGCCGAAGGTGGGCAGCCATCTACCTCTCTGCTCCAGCTCCTCATCCTTTCAAGCATGCTTGGCCTCAGGGCCTGGAAGCTCAGCAACCTGTGGGCCAGCTGCAGGGGCCCCTATTTTTATAGAGCTGGAACAGAAGTCAGTGAGGTGGCTGGTGACAGCAGCAGGCCATTGTGGTGGCCACTGTGTCTGCAGCTGATACGTGTGGCCCACTGTGGCGGGTTTGGGCGTGGCGGGCCTGTGGCCTGAAAGATGCCCAAATGTGAGGGAAGGAAGAGGGTTTGCAGGGGCTGAGGGCACTCATCCTGGGGACCACTCCCACCTGCCATATTGCTTGCCTGAGAGAAAGACTGCCCCTTGGGCACAGGGACTGCCCTCCACCTCCCCTCTTAAGCCCTGGGCTCCAGCCCCCCCCTCCTTATCTTTTGCCTGGGGTCCCCTTGATGAGGCAGTGGCAGCCATGTTCCAGGAGGGTCAGGGGTCCTCAGTCACCCCCACTGAGCTGATACCCTGCAAGTGGCACAGTCCCCGTGCTTGACAGTGGCTGTGACGGAGCAAAAAAGCAACCAGACATCCCACCAGTGGGAAAAGGAGGCCCGTCCGGCCTGCACAAGGTCTGCCAGCACTCCATGAAGAATTGCTGATTGCCAAGTGTTGCGTGGACTCTTCTTCCCTGTCCCCTGGCCCTGCCTCTGGAATGTGGAGAGGTGCCATATCTTCTAAACAGAGTCCTGAGGGAGAG